TGGGATCACAGGTGGGGCCACTGAGCCCAGCAAGATTTTTCTTAAGGGGTGAGTTTTGGAGCGAAATGGGGCAGGGAAGGCTGGAGAGGGGGAGGAGACCCTGCCCTCTGGGAACTCGAGGCCACTCCTTGGGCAGTGCGGGCAAAGGAGGGAGCAGCTCTGGGAGGAACCCTGACCACAGATGGGCACCCTCTCCAGCCCCGGGACCCGCCCTCCCTGCTGAACAGGGGGAAGGGCAACTTGGGGAAGGGAGGTGCCCAGCAGCGTGGCCTTTCCTGATGTGAACTGTGGCCACTGCCTGTGACGGAGGTGGCTTGCCCCCATGCCTTGGTCAGCCTGCGGGAGGAGCCGAGATCCCTGCAGATCCAGATGGCCCAGCCAGTGGGTTCTGTGGCCGGGAGTGGCCCTTCCCCACAACCAGGCCGTGGCACACCCATTGTCTGGACTGTGGCTATCACCAGGAAGCCTGGGGCTGTTGTGGGCAGCAGTAGCCAGGACTGGGCAGGCTGTGCCTCTGGGTCTGCTCACAGGCAAGACAAAGATCAGGGAACCCAGGACCTGCCGGGGACACCGCAGGGTGGCCACAGCCCGAGGACCTCCGAGACTCTGGCTGCCCAGGTTCAAATCCCGCCTCTGTCCTCAGCTGTGACCCTGGGCAAGTCCCTCTCACAGTCTTGTCTGTAGCAGTGACAGCAGCAGGGCCTGTGAGCAGGCACAGAAACGCCCAGCCGGCAGGTCAGGGCAGCGGTGGCCGCTCTTCCAGGCACGTTAGCAGGCCTAGGCCACAGGGGAGGTGAAGGGTGTGTCCTGCCTGAAGGGGGTCTTCAGGGCCAGCGATGAGGAGGGTCCCTGGCCCAGGACAGACAGCAAGACGACCCTGAGTCTAACCCTAATGTTGAGTGGGACTTGGAAGGTCACTCAACCTCTCTGGGCCTCAGTGTCCATATCTTCCAGGGGGAATCCTGGCCCGTTGCAGGATCTAGTATCACATGCAGAAGAGCACTACGAAAGTTTCAGATCCCTGCCACCAGTCAGGATGTCCCTGCTGTCCTTAGTTCCAGGCCTCAATCCTCCTATAGTCCCAGGAAGGTAAATTTCACAAATGAAAATTTTCTAGGCCTCTGAAGTTCGCTCTCAAGCTCCCTGGGGCTGTAAGGAAAGACGTCAAGATGCACCGCACGCCCCCTGCTCACGGTGCACTGGTGTGGAGGGGTTCTCAGACCTGCTCCTGAGAGCCTTCACCAAGTCCCTTGAAACTGTCCCTTCTCTGGGTCCCCAGGGCTCTTCTCAACCCCTCAGGGCCCAGACACACCAGAGCTATCAAGTCCCCGAGTCCAAGACTGTAGTGGGGGGCTGCTGGGGTGGCACTCATGCCGCCCTTTCACAGAGCACTTAGAAGCCTGTGGGTGGGACGGGCTCAGAGCCAGGACAGGCAGGAGCGGGCCCTGGTGCCCCCCATGCCCACGTGCAGCCCACACTCTCCCGGGGCCTTCCTGCCTGGGGCTGGGGTGCCAGTTAGATGAGGCACCAGAGGGTGGCTCAGCCCTGGGCCCCACCTCTCCTCGGGTGGGGCTCAGGACAATCGGAGGCCACATGGGAGACATCTGCCCCCCACCTCCGTCATGGTCGCCTGGTGGTGCCCACCGCCAAACAGCAACCTGGGGAAGCTGCAAGCGCCCTGTCACCTGGCCTGCAGCCTCTGCCCACAGGAGTGAGGCCAGCCAGCCTGGGAGGACCGGGGTCTGCTCTGGTTTTCTGAGCTGTTGCTTCATGTGCGGTGGGGACAGGAGAGGGCACAGATCCCAGGACAGGGGCTGCTGCACACTGGCCCTGGCACTTGGGATGTGGCTCACGACCACCCGCTGGGCCTCGCTGTCCTTTGGACACCAGGGGATCTGCCAGTTCTGACTCCACGCTGGGTGGTGCAGACAGGATCAGGAGCACCACCAGGGGGTGCTGTTGTCCCCAGCCCCTGGGGAGTCCAGGGCCTGAAGACCCCATTATGGTCCCCATGCCCAAGTGACCTGGTCATGATAGCAAATCAGGGTTACACAACACGCCTTCAGACTCCTGACCACCCATAAGGATGGGCCACCTGCCCCAATGGACAGATGGTGACAGGCGTGCACCGCGGTCCCGGCTTATTCAGCCTTAGAGAACCTTCTACGTGTGAGGCCTCTGCTAAGTCCAAAGGGAACTTGGGGTGTGGTGTCCAGCTGGGAGACGGGTCAGCAGACTGACACTCACCCTTCAGCAGGACACAGGCACTGAGGTGGAGCCTGGGCAGGCTTTGGGGGGTGACGGGTGAGGTCCTGGGCTCGGGTGGACTGGAAGCCAGCATCGCGGCTATTCTGCTGGGACCCCGGGCCCAGGGAGCAGGTGTGTGCACAGGGTGGCCGTCTAGGTGTGCGCTGGGCACCCACAAGCAGGTGCACTGGTGAGCCCCGCGCGGAGCGTGAGTGATGGGTAGCCCTGCTCGGGCTAAGCGTCTCTGTGCACACGCACACAGCCAGCCTGTGACAGGACCCTGCACACCTCCTTCCTCCCTGCGCCTCTCCTGGGTCCCTGCTCCTGCTCTCACCGGTCACTCCAGAGACCTCAGCTGGAAGAGTTTGGAGGGAGCTACTTCTAAGATGGAGGCCAGAAGGAGGAGGTCTCTAAAGCTGGACAAGGAAAGGACATGGACCCCCAGCCCCATCCACCAGGAGGAGGCAGCCCAGCCTGACTTCAGCCTCCTGAGACTAGCGCTGGACTTCTGGCCTCTGAACCAGAAGGTAGCACACAGATGTCTTAAGCCACTAAGTCCAGTTGGCCACCACAATGGGCCACTTTCACAGAGAAACGTCCTGAAGGTCCAGCCTACAGCCCAGCCTCCCTGTGCCTACCACCTGCCAAACAGCTCTCGGTGCATCCACCCGGCTCGGCGTCCCCTTGCTGAAGTCCACTGAGGGCCCCGATATTTAGGGGACAAAGCTCACTGCCCCCCGCCAAACAGGGCCTCGCTGAGGGACCAGTTTCCCACTCTCCTCCCTGAAGCGGGGTCTCCCTGTGCTGCCCAGGCCGGCCCTGATGCCCGGCTCAAGCCACCCCCCTGCCTCAGCCTCCTGAAGAACTGGGCTCGAAGGCGCGGAGCCCCACACCTGGCCAAGGCGTCCCCATGCTGCCTGCCAAATTCCTTCTGGCCTTCCCTGTCCCATCCCAGGTCCCCGCAGAAAGGTCACGGAAAACTCAGCTTCACGGGGCCAATAACAGGGACTTGGGGTGCCCTGACTTCACGGGTCACAGCGGGTATCTCTGTTCCCTCTCCACTCTGTGTGGCAGCGGCAGCCCTAGGCAGGGGACTGTGTCTTCTGTCACCAAGGAGCAGCACCCACCGACCTGTAGGACACTAACCAGCCTCTGGGTGCCGGGCCCTACATACTCCATCACGGTTTAGATGTGCGGTGGCCCCAGAAGCTCCTGTGGGACAGTGGAGTCATAACTGGGTGGTGACTGGAGCAGGTGGGGTGTGGCTGGAAGAGGTGGCCCCTAGGGGTGGCCTTGCCCTGCCTCACCCTGGGCCCAGACAATGGACCTGGCTGTACATGGACTGAGCCCCCCCAAAACGTCCTTTCCTCTAATTGTTCTTGTTGTGTCTTTCAGTCACAGTGTGAAAGAGCTGACTGGGACATTCCCGGGTGACCTCACTGTCCCAGGGCTTTAAACACCAGGTCCGAGCTCGGGAATCTAGTTACGCCTCTGGCTGTGGCTGCTCCCCTGGACCCCAGCTTCTGCCCTGAGAGCTCCTCCTCCGGCCAGAAGCGTGCTGGCCCTGGCTGCCCCCACAGCCCGCATCAGCAAATTCTTTGGGCTTTAGCTACAAAAGACACCCAGAGTCAGGGACTGCCCGACAGCAACTGCTCTTAGCCCTGCCTGTCCTGGGCCCCACAGCCAGGGGGCTCCTCTCAACCCTGAGTGGGGGAGCCTGCCCGCGCCCCCTGCCCAGAGCTGCACTGGCTCGCAAGTCGCAAGTCCCAAGCCGGCCCTTCCTCGGCTCACACACCATCTTCCCTCCTGTTCTTGCCTCATCTCTGGCAATTTCCCCTGATCTTTCTTCAACACTTGGCAGGTGACCCCAGGGCCTTTGCAGAGGGGCCTTCTCCGCCTGCAATGCTTTTCCCTGCTCCCTGGTCAGCGCTGCTTCCTTCAGGCTTCTACTCTGGGGCGACTCCTGGGCCACCACCTGCCTAGGCCTGGGGTTCAGCGCCGTGTAGAACACATGTGTGAGGCCCCGGGTTCGACCCAGCGCTGCCGGGAGACGGAGCGCCTCAAGCCCCGCCCTCACCAGAGCATGTCCACAGCACTTCCGGCTTTGCAGATTGTCCCTTTATGTCCCCATCAGGAGGTGAGCCCCATGACGCAGGTTTTTACTTTTGTTTCTTTCTTTCTTTTTTAAAATCAGTGTCAATCAAGAGGCCAGCCCCGGACACCAGGACCTGGCCCGGTGTCTCTGTTGCTCACAGACAGTGTGACTGTGCCTGTGCTGGCCCCCTGCTGGCCAGTCCCCATGGCACTTACAGAGATTGGGCTGTGTCCCCATCCCTACCTTCTGTTCTGCCACCTGAGTGTCCCCCACCCCACCCTGTGGGCTTCCACCATTTGACAAGACCTGCATGGGCCAGGTGCCTGGTGACCGCAGCACCACGCGCTGACCTCAGTACAGCCCAGCCCAGGTGGAAGGACCAGGCTGTTCCGGTGGCCTGGACCACCCTCACTGCCTGTCCTAGCTGAGCACCCTCCCCGCGTCCCTGGGATCCACCTACGGCGCCCACTCTATGCAGGGCAGGGCGTGTCTGCCCACAGAGGCCTCTCAGCCCCGCCCAGCAGATGCCAGCTTTCCCTGGGAAGGCAGAAGGGGATCATTACCGGGGCCTAATTAACAAAGCACAGCAGAGATAATTAAGTAGAGAAACAGGCTGGCGCTGGAGCCGGGTATCTTTAGAAACCCGAGGAAGGACATCTTTAGAAATCCGAGGAAGGACGGTTTTATTTTGAGCTCTCAAGATGACAGAGTTGCAAGGGTGGAGAGGGGTGGGGACGTCGGGGAAGGGAGGCAGGCCCTGAGGGGTGAGTGCCCGAGTGACTAGGGACATGGAAAGGACTCGGGTCTCCAACAACAGGAGAGAGGTGGGAGGAATCACAGAGGGTGTTCCTGTTCCAGGGGACCCTGAGGAAATGGAGGCCCAGTGGAATTAACTTATCCAAGATCAGAGACAGTAAGTTAACTTATCCAAGATCATAGCTAGAAAGTTAACTTATCCATATTCACAGGCAGTAAGTCAACTTATCCAAGATCATACAGGTCGGAAATGGTAGAAAAAAGTCCTGAGGGGGTAAAAGTGACCTGTTCCTGCTGCTGACACTGTCCAACCCCTCTCTATGCACACAGCACCTGCGGATGACAGGAGACCCCACAGAGAGAGGCCTAGCAGCAGCTCTGGGGCCCTGTCCACCTGGGTCCCAGGACCACAGCCCTCGCTGGGTAGGCCTTTCGCCACAGCTGAGCTGCTCCAGCCGGGCCCCAGAGCATGCTGGAGGCCTGAGCTGCGCAGAGTGAAGTGGCCATCTTAGCAGCTCGTGATCCGACCCTGCCTTCAACTGAAACTTAGTGGGACGTTCCGAGTGAACCACAGGGACATCCTCAATCAAGCTGGGGCCCGCGGGCTGCTCAGGCTCGGGGAGCTGCGGGGACGTCAGCGCAAGAGCTTGCCAAGGCCGGGTCTGCAGGGTCCAGTCCACGCTGCAAAGCCGGGCCTTCCAGGCCCTCCACGCTCAGCCTGGCCGCCTCTCGCCTCCCACCTGCTGAGCGCCACTGCCCCTCCCCCTCTGGCCGTGATGGGAGCCCAGGGAGGCCCTGGGGTGGGCACGGGGTTCCCGCAGTGTCCCCCACTGTCTGACGAGGTCGCAGAGGCTCAGGCAGGCAAACTGACTTGCCGGAGTCACACAGCAAGTCGGCAGCTCTGCTCTGCCTCTGAGGTCCCCGTGCTCTGGGAGGGGCTTCCCGAGACTGTCACTCAGGCTAGCAGGTTCCCAAACAGGGAGAGGAGCAGCCTGCCACTGCAGGGGGAGTGGGTCCCACCCCAGCCCTTCCCCCAGACTGGCCCCGAGGAGAGCCACCATGGGTAGGGACCTCAGGCTCAGACACAGGCAGGAAGAGCCCTTCTGTCCCCACCTGCAGGGAGCCCTGTCGGAAATGGCCTCCCTAGTGAGTGCCTGCCCCAGCTTGGCTTAAATGCCTCGAGTGACGGGGAGCTTACTATCTTTCATGGCTTTTAAAAAAGTTTTTTTTTTTTTAAATAAAAAAAAAAAATTGTTTTTGATACTGGTGATGAGACCCAGGGTGCTCTACCGCTGAGCCACATCCCAGGCCTCTCTGCATCTTCTTTAGCTGAGCTGCTGAGGCTGCCTTTGACCTCGCAGTCCTCCTGCCTTGGCTTCCCCAGCCGCAAGGATCACAGATGAGCGCCCCCTGCGCCTGGCTACCCCCATGTTCTTGGCTCGGTTCCCCTGACCCACAAACTCTGCGCTGGCTCTGTTCCTCAGGGTGGCCACTGCCCCCACCCCATGGCCACCCTGACTGCGTCAACCACCACTCGGACCCCACCAGCTGCACCCATGTCCCCAGGTGTCTCCCAGGCCTGCAGACCCTGCCTTGAGGACCAGTACCACCTTCACCCTTCTGGAAGTTTCCACCCTCCTCCCGTCTGGCTTCCCCTCACCAGAGACCTACTGCCCACTGCCGCTGCCCACCACCCTCCCTTGGCTCCAGTGCCCAGATCTTCCTTCTCTAGCCTACCACGGTAACCGCAAGACCATGAAAACCTCCTGATGTCATGTGGGTGGCTGAAAAACCCCTCAATGCCACAAAATCAAGCCTGTTGTCAGCCTGGCCGGCCTGGCCTTCCGGTCAAGGCCCCGTGTGATTCTGGCCGCAGCTCTGCTAACTCTGCCCCCTGCTGCCCCACGTCCCCAGCGCCCAGGCTCAGGCCACGGAGACTCTGCCTCGCTGTGGCTTGGTTTGCTCAGCTACAGATGGGACCCTTGACAGCACCTCCCCCCCTCCCAGGGGCAGCTGGAGTCTGGGGGAGGCTGGCAGCCCCAGGCCTGGCACCCAGGCACCCGGCAAGTGTGGGGCAGCCAGGGAGGGAGCTTTCCCTGCCAGGATGTGGGTGGCTGGCCCTGGGAGGTGACAGCCCAGACCCTTCCCTGGCCCCAGTGCAGGGGAGAGGGCTGGTCTCTGCAGCAGGCGGCCTCACCCTGGCGTGGAGACCAACCTGCTCCGGCCCCTTCCGGGGACTTCAGCTGCAGACAGACAGGCCTGGGCAGCCCAGACCCCTCCTTGCCTCTCGGTGACCAGCGGTCAAACTTCCCAGGCCCTTTTCTTCTTTCTAGCCCTCATTCCACGGTCTGGTGGCCCTTCCTGGGAAAGATGGCAGTCCCCCGCCCCCGCCCCCGCCCCTAGTGGGCGGCTCCTCCTGCCACCCCCAGCCTCCCCACTATCCCTAGGGGCCATCGCTCCCTCCCGGCCCTGGCTAAAGGCCCTCTGCAGCTCGGTGGCTCCTCTCCCACCCCCACCCGCAGGACACTGCCGCACAGTGACCCAGGCCTCCCCCACCTGTGAGCTGCCCCCTCCATGGTCCCAGGCGTCATGGCCTCCCCTGTGGCGGCATCCCCCTGGGCTTCAGGCCTATGAGGTCCCCTCTCTCCACACCCAGGCGCTGGAGGTCCCGGGGCGCAGGCTTGAACCATGGCTCACACACCCACCGTCAACCAGGTTCATGAGCCAAGTTCACTCGCTATGATGGCTGCCAGCCACGTGTCTCGGGCGGACGGTCCCTGGTTTGCAGGCCTCACTGCCTGCCACTCAGATCTGCTCCTCGTTGTCCCCACCACATGGGGACTTTGTTCCTCTAGTGCTCAGGATGTCTTTCTTCAGCACTGGGGACTGAACCCAGGGTCTCTACCACTGAGCCACACCCACCCTTTTTATTTTTTTATTTAGAGACACGGTCTCACTGAGGTGCTGAGGGCCTCTCTAAGTTGCTGGGGCTTTGAACTCAGGATCCTCCTGCCTCAGCCTCCTGAGTTGTCGGGATTATAGGGCCACTGCACCTGGCTCCTGGGCCATTCTTAATAGTGTCCTCCTACCACCCAAGGGGAAGTCCCCGTTCCCCACACCTCACCCTAGCACCCTGCCCAGCACACCCCCGGCCCCCTGGCTCCACCCTCCTGCCCTGCCCTGGACCTTCAGAGGGCTCCCTGGGCACAGAGGGACCTAGAGGCCAGACGAGGGGCTGTCAGGAGCCCTCCCCCGGCTACTCCCCAAAGCCTGCTGGTCACTCCAAGGGGCTTCTCTGAATGAGCTGCTGCCCACACTCCCGGTGCCTTCCCACAGGAAGGCAGGAGAGAGGCTTCAGGACATGCGTGCGGGGTGAGGGCTCTCAGGCTTCCTCTGCCCCATAGAACAGGGCCGAGGGCTGAACCTGCCCCCGGGGCGAGCATGACCCTTCCTTTCCTGTTGCCAAACCCACTTAAAAATGGGCATAGCCCAGGGCTCTCCTCCTGCAAAAGGGAGCAGACTGGCCGGTGGCGCCTCACTCCCCGCTCTCGCCTGCAGAGGGAGGCCTGGCCATCCTCCCAGGCTGCCCGCGCAGCAGGACCAACGCCAACGGGGCTGAGTCCCACAAGGCGACACCCTGCAGGGGCCGGCCAGCGCTGGGCCGCGATGCGAGCCCCAAGTTAGGAGGACAGAGAGCACAGAGATCTCGCGGTCCCCGGCAGGGCGGTCCCCGGGAAGCCCTGGGAGGCATGTCCAGGACCCTGGCTGGTGCACAGGAGGCTCTGCAAGTGCACCCCGTGATGCCGTCATGATCCTGTGACGGTCACTTCCCGGCCCTGTCCTGCTGTCCCCATCCTGCTTCCTGGGGAAACGCTCATTTCCGCTGTGGCGGCCTGACGGCCTCGGGCTCTGCTCTGGCCTGCCCAGGCCTCAGCAGGCTGGCGCAGGCACAGCCCCGCTGTGACAGGGGACTGGCTGCGACTGAGAGCCCAGTCTCCCCTCCGCAGTCTGAGGGGTCCTGGAGAGGCCTCCTCTCTGCCCGCCCTGGTCACTCCAATCCCAGAACATGGCCCGGCCCTCCAAGTCCTCCAAAGAGGTATAAAGGTGCCCATGGTAAATGTCCGGGTGGGCCAGCGCCAGGGAGCTCTGGACCTCAGGCACTCGGGCCACAGCTGCTACTCAAGCCGCCCATCCACTGCCACCTTCCTGAACCTCTCCATCCGAGGGCTCCGGAGACACAGCCGGGCTCTGGGGAGCCCCTGGAGCGGCTCAGCCTCCCCGTGCCCTCTCCGCCAGGACTCCCCTCTCCCTTGCCCCTCGTTGGGGTCCCTGCGCTGACAGGAGCTGTCACATCACTACCCGTCCACCTGCGGAGGGCATGGTGTACTGAAGGGGTCAGCAGGGGCCTCGTCATCCAGGCAGCTGGCTCCCCCATCTCACCACCAAGCTCGAGTCCCCATAGTCAGTTGAGGCAGGACTGCAGCCCGGCTCTGGTCCAGAGCCCAGAACCCATGTCCCACAGTGGACTCGGCTCCAACCTCTAGGCCCAGGACAGGGCCAGCCCCCCATGCCCAGCGCCCCTCCCGGCAGGCCTCTTACCAGGCTTGGGGATGAGTCCTTGAAAGGGCCTGGAAGAGAAAGAGAGGGGGCTCAGGGTGGGGGCGGGTGGACAGCAGGGAGCCACTGGGACACAGAGGCACTGGCCACGTCTGTGTGGGCTAGGAACTCTGGGGCCACCTCAGACCTCCTGTGGCACAGCCTGCATCTCATCAAGGACCCCAGGTGACTGTGTGCGTGGGATGAAGGCCTCTCTTGGAGCTAGGGAGCAAGGATGGGTGCCACTGGGCGGCGCTGAGCAGAAGGTGCTCAGAGGCCACCCCTGCTTTGGAGTGGTAGTGGGGTGGCCAGTTTAGGGAAAGCCAGTGGTCCATCTCCAGTGCCCCAGGATGGAGCGGGGAAGGCCCCCAACCAGCGGCGAGGCAGGATCCGGGGAAAGGCTCCACCCTGGCCAACCCTGCGTCCCCCCCTCCCCCGGCACCTGGTGACGGTGAACTTGATCTTGTCAGCCACAGCAAGGATCCTCTCCAGGTTCTGGGAACCGAAGGTGCAGGGTTTCCGGAACGGGATTCCCGGGGGCAGCCCCTCAATGATCACCGAGCCAGGGTTGCTCTTGATGCGCTTGTAGGGCACCTGGACGGGATACTTGATGCCCAGGGCCTCCCCTGTGGGCGAGAGGGACAGTCCTGACCATCAGGAAGGAGATGGTGCAGGTGTGCAGAGGGTGGAGAGGGCCCTTGGGTGACAGGAGGGGAGCCGGGGGCTTTCTCAGCCTCAGAGCCAAGATCTGTGAGCCCCACTGGGGGATGCGTGCCTATGGCCCGGCTGCCTATGACAGGGACACGGCTTGGCCTGCCCTGGTTCTAGCAGGCACATTCCATCTGGGGGCGGGAGCACCAGGCCCAGCCAGCCAGGGTGCTGCCAGCACTCGGGCTGTCCCTAGTTTTTCGTCACTAACACTCTGGGGAGGGCTGCAGCTCTCCACTCCAGCCAGCCTTTCCTCACAGCTGGACTGGTGCCTCCCAGGTTGGCGTGTCCCCAACCCACTGGGGGCCGTGGTGCTGGCTGCCGGGGGGCAGGTGTGGGTTCTCAGCCCTGGACACCCCACAGCTGACCTGAACATCCAGGGCTCAGCTGCACCTGGCCACCTCAGGAATCCCCTCCCCGAGGGCAGGAGCTAACTGAAAGTACCACCCCCAGCACTGCAGGACAGGGCTGGGCCGATGGGGCCAGGGACAATGGGGATGGGACAGATGAGATTTTTGGTGCGATGAGCTAATTTTCATCTCATGGACACTGGGAACTGCAGACCCTGTGTCCCTTTTTGCTCTGGCCTCCAAGAAGCTCAGAGCCCAAGGTGTGCGCTGCACCTGGCGAGCACGAATCCTGTCTTTGTGCATCCTGGGTACCTGCCACTTCCCAGCTGCAGGGTCCTGTGATTGGGGTGTAGCTGGTGAGCCACAAAATCCGCCATTTTAAGGTGGATCCTCCAGTGGTTTATCAGTCACCACGTTCGAGACTATTTCTACCATATCTCAATCTAGAACATTCTGTCTCCAAAGGGCAGGGCTGTGCCCCTCGGCAGCCCCTTCCCTTCCCCACAGCCTCCGTGGCCTCCAGCCTGTTCCGAGCTCCGTATCTGCCTGTGGCCGGCTGGTCCCTAGGCCATTACACACAGGCCCTTTTTGAGATGAAAATACACAACACGATAGATAAACAGATAAGTGTGATGGCCGATGGCCTCCACGTTGGCCGAGCCAGGGGACACTTGTGGTTCTTTGAGCAAGTGTGGCCATGCTCCCCCTCAAAGTCTCTCCCTGCTTCTACCCTCCTCCTCTTTCTTTTCTGCTGCTGGGGACGGAACCCAGGGGCTGGATGCAGCCTTTTTTATTTTTTAATTGAGACAGGGCCTTGCTAAGTTGCTGAGGCTGGCCTTGAACTTGCGACCCTCCTGCTTCAGACTCCCGAGCTGCTGGGGTTCCAGGTGTGCCTGTCTTCTTTTCTTGGTGATGGGGACTGAACCCACGTGAGCTAAGACGCGGCGCCCCACCCAGCCCCGCCTTCTCCTTCATCCTTTTTTTTAAACAAAGACTATTATTTTACAGCAGTTTTAGATTCACAGTAAAACGGAGAGCAGGGAACAGAGAGCCCCACTACCCTGACCCCATGCAGAGCATCCCCAAGGAAGGGCTTCTGTGTCACAGCGGCTCATCTGTGACGAATGATGGATGGACCTACATGGACACATCATGACCACTCGGGGCTGGCCCGGCCTGTGGGAGGCCCTGGGCTCCCCAGCACCACATTAAGTTAAAAAACAAACAAACAACAACAACAACAAAAAAGAAAAGTCCCCATATTTCTATCACCACAGGTCCTCAGTCCCCAGGTGCTGTTGGCATCACAGATTCCAAGGGTTGGAACGTGTGAGGTACCTACAGCAAATGTGAGCATGTGGCAGCACTGCAGTGTCACACAGAGGGCTTCACTGCCCATGGGTGGCTCCTAGGCCGTCCCAGAGGCCGATTTTCGACAGCAGACTCCTTCGTCACCTGCCCGAGCGCGCCTCGCCCTTCAATCTCCTCCCCTAAGGGGAGCCCGTCACCTGTGTCCCGACTTCCCTCCTTGGTGGGGCTCGGCCCCTTCTCCCTGGCTAACAGCTGGAGTGTCCACACCATCTGCCTTCCCCCTTGCCACAATGACAGGTCAGGTAACCTGTGCCTGAGCCAAGGGGCGCTGACCATGCCCCTGAAGCAGGGATTGGGTAAGGAACAGACATGTGACTCAAAAAGGACCAATGAGAAACAAGGAGAGGGCTTTCAGGGAATTCTAGGAAATAAATGAACTGGCTCCCTGAGAATCTCAAGGAAGACCCAGCCCTCTCCTTCCCAAGCATGCAGAAGAGATGCCTGGAGCTGCTGCAGCCATTCTGCCGGCCTGAGGCTATGTCCACACCACAGAAACAGACAGCTAGGGCATGCCTGAGCTGCTGAATCCAGCTGATCCTGAAGGCTACCCTCCCACTGTACTTCCTATGTCATGACCCATGGCCAGCTGTACTGTCCACAGACAGCTTCACCAATACTTCTCCCACGTCACAGGCTCCTCTTAATGTTGCACTGATACTTCTCCATGCAGAACTGGAGCCTGTGGCCTTCCACTTGAACTTGGGTGGGCCCGTGTGTGTGCGTGAATGCGTGAGTTTCCGCATGTGCGAGGTGCTGGGAGTCAAACCCAGGCCCAGGCCTTGTGCACATGGTGAGTGCTCGCCCCTGAGCTGCGCCCCTTTCACGAGCTGTACCCCAGCCTAAGGTGAGCGCCCGTTCTCTTGAGCAGCCTGCTTTTTCTGCAGAGCTCCTGAGGTCCCTCACTGTCTGCCCTCTCTTACACACAGCCCTGGTGGAGGCGGGGCTGGGGCGCTCACCATACTTCTTGTTGAACAGGTCCTGCACTTGCTCCCGCAGCGTGTTGGCGATGTCGATCCGCGAGAGCCTGGCGTCGAAATTTTCTGCAAAGTGAAGACAATTATGGATTGAGGCTGCTGGAGGGAAGGCACTTGGCGGCGTTTAAGGAATGCGATTTTCTAATTAGGGGCGCTGCTTCCAGGGCCATTAGCAGGTCCTCGGAGCGCCCGGGAGCCCTTGGCATTAGCGCCTTGGCGGCGACGCGAGTGCTTCGAGGACGCAGGCTGTTGGGGCAACAGCAGCGAAGCCGGAGATTAGCTAATTGTTGACATTTGAAAAACCAAACACATAAACATGCCAGAGGTGGGCTCCAGGGCGGGCAGCCGGGGTCTTCTCTCCCGGGCACAGACGGGAGGGGACACGAGCTTAGCTGACTCAAGACTCCTGAGTGGTGTGGGACGGGGCCCAAGAGGCAGGAGGCCGCCTGGTGACCCTGGTGACCCTGCACGCCCTGCAGTGTCCCTGGAGGACCTTCCTATGCCAGCAGGTGCAGTGTGGCGGGGTGTAGGGAGGACAAAGAAGGGACCTCTGTGCTTCGGGGGACCCTGGCTAGGTTCAGTGTGGGGCCAAGGGGTGAGGCAAGAACACGAGATCCCCTCGTCACAGAATGTCCCAGATGCCCTGGTAGGACAGTGACCAGGGCAATAAGCAGCATCCCTGTGATCTGGGCCTCCCTGGCTCCCCCACTCCCAGGACTGAACCCGCTGACCACTCGCTGCTCAGAGGCATGGAGACCACACAAAGTCATCTGGGGACACCCACCCCTGGGGACTCACAGCCACACTGCTAGTTCCTTGGAGTTGCCTGGACACAGGGATGTGGACAGTGATTTCCAGTCATTGCCACCATGGCACGGATGGGCCCCCCTCAGGCTGGGCCTCCCTGGGTCACGGCCTATCTCCCCAGGACCCTGGCCCCTTCCGGCTCCCATGGCCCTACCCGAGCCTTTGTGCCAGTGCCCCGGCCACCCTGGCCCTCCTTCCTCATGCCGAGGCCCAGCCCTCCTCCTCCAGGGGGGCCTCCCTGCCTTGGAACCTTTGCCTACTTCAAAGCCTGGAGGACATGGTGACTGCTGGGGACAGGGCAGTGGCTCGGGCCCAGCCAGGGGTGGACACCACGCACCCTGTGCCTGGCCTTCCCCAGACCTGCCTGCGGAATCTAGCTGGAGCTGGCAGGTGACAGTCTGGCCCAGAGGCCAGCCCGGCTGGCTTGGTCCCCCAGCCTAGCCCCCGACCTGGTCAAGGTCACGGTGCCTGGCCAGCTGACCTCAACCTTACCTTGAAAGCCCTGTCTCTTCAGGCTCTCGTCCACAAGGGGGTCCCCGGGGTCCCTCTCTGGGGGCGGGGGAGAGAAGCCAGGGTGAGAAGGCTCTGGGACCTGAGGTGGCACTGCCAGCAGGGCAAGCCCCATGGGGGGTCCCGGGAAGGAGGATGGGACAGAGGAAGCAGGAGGTGGCCTGGCAGAGGCCTGGCGCCCGCCCACACTGCCCGCGCCTCGCCCAGGACGGGTACCTTGGCTGTCCACCACGGGCTCCTTGACACCCTCCGTGAGCAGCTCAGGCCTGGAAGACACAAGCACAGCTGTCACCTGGGCCCCTCGCACCCAGGCCCTCCTCGCACTCAGGGCAGCCCACCCTCCCTGGGCCTCGGTCTCCACATCAGCACTGGGTCCTGCTGACCTACGGGTAATCTGGGGGCCACGCCAGGCACTGAGGAGCCAGTGGGGGACAAGACCCTCTAGGGTCCTGCCCTGGTGGGTGACACCCTCACCTGGGGGATCCAGGACGTCACTTAATTGCCACAGCCAAGGGCTGGAGCAAGCAGCTGGGGCGGGGGGTTCTGATGCCCAATGCGGGAGTCCAGCACAGCCTGGGTCCAGCCTGGCTGGCCTGCATGGAGGGTGGGCTTCGGGCACTGAGGAGTTGCGGGCAGGGCTGGGGACGGGGCCTGGTTGTGCAGGGATGTATCAGGATAGGACCTGCCTGCTCTCTGCCACAGGGGTGCCCAGGAGTGAGGATTTGGCACCCTCTGGCCGTGGGCACCTCCTGGGCACCAGCCAGTGTCCAGTGCACACCTGGGCTCTCGGGGCCAGGGCTGGTAGGAATGAGGACTGCAGCCTCGGGAGCTGGAGAGGGCCCTACACTTGGGCCTCTGCTCTTCAGGGGGAGACTGATGGCTCCGGGGGCCTCAGGGAGCTGGTAGCTGGCCAGGGCTCCCAGGCCAGGGCCACTTGGGTCCCCATTGAGCAGCTGAGCAACCTGCCAGAGGCCCCAAGGACTGAGGGCGGCCTTAACCCCAGAAGGCTACCTCTCCAGCCTGCACAGCCACCAGCTAAGCGGCCTCCCTTTCCAAACAGAGGGCGGGGAGGCCACGGGGATCTTTGTTTTCTAGTTTTTGCAGCGAGGGGGACCCCTAAGGCCTCAGGCAGGTTACTCAAGCTCCACCGCTGAGCTCCATCCCAGCCCTTGTATTCTGAGAGAGGCTGCTAAGCTGTTATCCTCCCGCCTCAGCCTCCTGAGCCACTGGAATCCAGGCTTGCGCCACCTCCCCAGTCAGGATTTTTCTTCTTAATTTTTTCCTGTTTATTTTTATTCTGTGTAGCACTGGGGACTGAAGCCAGGGCGCTGCACCACCGAGTGGCACCCACAACCTCTTCTGCCTGCCTCTGGCCTGCGAGTCCGTTCCCTAGCTGCCTTCCCTCCCCGAAGGCCCCCACCCCTCCAGCAACAAGTCAGGTCTCTGCCCCAGGGTGCCTCCCTGGACGGTTCCCAGGTCCCTCTGCCTCCCACCCTGAGCCACACACCCTTCCCAGCATTCAGCTCTGCCTGGCACTATGCTAGGGGTTTTTTGGGGTACTGGGGATTGAACCCAGGGTCACTCAGCCACTGAGAAACATATATTATATATTATATTTTATGCAGAGACAGGGCCTCACTGAGTTGCTTAGGGCCTCCTTTTGCTGAGGTTTTGCTTAGGCCTCAGCCTCCCGAGCTGCTGGGATTATAGGCGTGTGCTACTGCGCCAGGCTTAGGCCGTGGTTTGGCAGTGGATAGTCCACTGGCTGGCAGGAGTTGGTGGCTGTCCCTGCTGGGTTGTGGCCAGCACCTGTGGGTGCTCAGGACTTTGGCTGAAGGTCAGGACCCCGTGTCTACTGTTTGCATCTTCTGAAGCGCCCCGCTGGGTGGACCCCAGGTCCCGCAGGACCCTGCCCAGGGCCCCCAGCCTGCCACTTGGCGTGAATGAGGCCGAGGCTCCCGGCCAGGGCCCTGCTGCCCGCAAACTCGGCCTCCCCTTACCACTCTGCCAAACCAGCCTGAACAAAACCCAGGAGGGACAGGGACAAAACAGGAGACCCTGCCCCCCCCCCCACCACTCACTCTGTAGCAGCCACTGCCCCTTCCAGAGGGACACTGACCCCTGCAGGGACACAGGACGAATTGGTGGGTGCTGCAGGGATCTTTGCAGACAAAAATGGAGTGCCCAAGGCACAGGACCCAGAAGACACCGCCAGACTCTCCAACCCTGACACACAGCAATGCCCCCTTGTCCCAGAGGGCGGGTAAGCCAGCAGGCACATTCCCGTCCCCAGCTGGGCCACCTGGGACTGCCTGCCTGAGGCTGGGACAGGGGTCGGTCTGGCCGCAGCAACAGGATGGGCGGGGGGACCTGGTGCCTGCCCAACGATGGCTGGACCCCTTTAACACTTTTAATGACCACTTGTTTGAAAACGAAGGGGGGTCTTTGCCAATCTGTAGAGGGAGGTGCTTGGTACTGCTGCTGGGTGCTGGGTGCCGGGTGGTGTCCCTGGGCACAGGTGGCCTTACCTCTTGATGACGAACTGGATGCTGTTGCTGGCCTCCAGAATCTTGCGGAGCTTGGCGATCCCGAAGCAGTTGGGCCTGCGGAGGGAGATGCCTTCAGGCAGCCCCACCACAAACAGCTCCTCGGGGTGCATCAGGAACTTGGAGTAGGGCACCTTGACGGGCTCCGAGATGCCAATGGCTTTGGCTGCAGAGACACGGCTGCTGTAGGGGCACCCAGGGCTGCAGGGTCACGAGCCTCAGCCCATCCCCCATGCCTGTGCGGGGCGCCAGCGGCCAGAGCCCTTTAGTCCAGCGCTCAGTGACCCTGTGGACCTGCCCAGGGAAGGAGCAGGGGCCAGCCACCAGGCCAATGGGCAGCATGGCAGAGGGTGGGATACCTGGAGATGGGGACATGGCGGGTGGCCCCTCTCGGTGGCAGGTCCCAGCCTGGCCACCCTTGCTCACCATATCGAGAGTTGAAGAGCAGCTCCACCTGCTTCCGCAGCGGCCGGATGACGTCCCCGGGGCTGTCTGCAGGGGGGAGAGGAGCTTTGTGAGCCTCACTGCCTCTGCCCCAGCTCTGCAGTCACCAGGCGCCACCCTGCGGGGACCCCGGAGCGGGGAAGTGGGGGTGGGGCGGGCAATCTATGTGCTCAGAAGTGGTTGCTCCTGGGCAGGCGGGTCCACTCCTGAGCTTGCCCACCTGATGGCGAAATCAGCCCGAGTGGACTAGGAACAGCACTGGGCCTCTCTAGGGAGGCAGCGCTGTGTGGAGTAAGTGACCAGCTGGGCACTGTATGGAGTAAGCCTGCAATTTGAGCCCACCGCCACCAGGTGGCAGTGGGCCTCTGTGGCTACTTCAGGGCTCCCCGGCCAGGCTGGGTTTGCGGACTGAGGCTTCTGTCACTCACCCACTCCAGGGGCAGGCACCCCAGAGATAAAACAGATCCCTCTCCCTGCGGCCTCCCTCCTGTCCTGCCCCCTTCTCAGATGCCTTCCCTCAATGCCTACAGGCCTCAGAGCTAAGCCGGTGATTTCAGGCCTGAATCCCACTCCCTCTGCCCAGCCTCAGGGCAGTGTGTGGAGCAACTCAGGAAAGAACACCATGATCATGACCCTGACTGCCCTTATAGGGAGGAGCGGTGGGCTCTGAGCAGGTCTAAGAGCTCAGCCCACCAGCACCCCCAAAGGGGGATGTCTGAGAGACGGGGTGCAGAGCAGAGCCAGGGACAAGGGAAGGGGAGGGGTCGCGTGGGGACGGGTACCGTGGGAGGTGAACAGGGCCTCACCCTCCACGGGCCTCTCTTCTGGCCGTGGGTCCTCGCTGGGGCCTTTCTCTAGAAGAGAACAGAGAGACAAATAAAATAATAATACTAAAAAATCAGACAAAAGAGAAAAAAATATCAGAGAGGACATGGGGAGCCGTGCCTGTCACCTCCTGGTCCCTGCACGGCCAAAGGCAGGTCACGATACCCCCAGAGGGGACCAGTGCCCCGCTCCACTCAGGGAGCCTTAGAAGGGAGTCGGGGACTGCTGGACGTGCGTCCCCAGGGGCCACCCCTGAGCCACTGTGTCCCAGGGGCGAGCATATACAGGAAAAAACGTCCCATCCTCCTGGTGTGCCAGAGACAGCATGAGACAGGACAATGAGGGGCAGGTGGGGCCCAGGGGCCTGACAAGGCGGCCCTGCAGCTGCTGGGGCTCAGGAACTGACCCAGGAAGCCAGTGCCTGTCCCGCTGGGCACCCTGGACCCAAGGTCTCTGTCCCTGTCCCTCCAGTTCCTCTCTCCTGCAGTGCGGGGCAGGGCTTCCTCGGAACATCCCTGCTGACTCCTCAGAGGACCCTCTGGGGCCTCTCCCCATCTCACCCAACAGGACGGGTCAGCCCGCAGGAGAGGATGGCACAGGGAGCGGGAGGGCCGCAGGCTGTCCCTTGTGCCTTGGCCCACTCCCTTCTTCTCCAGACGCACAGCCCATCTCCCGGTCCCTCTGAAGAGGGCGGCTTTCTCCTGTTCCCCGTCTGTCATTTTGCTTTAGGACCTGCCATCGCCGCACCCTCAGGGCAGAAGGAAAGTCCCCTTTACCCCTATGCAGCAAGGGACCCACCTCGTCCCCAGACGCTGCCCATCATCAGTGAGGGCCGGAGGTGAGCGCCATGTTGGCATGGGTGAGGGTCCCCTGCTGGCCCTGGGGGGCTGGGAAGGGAGGTTTCCTGAGGGAGGGGACCTGGGTGGACCAGTGTGCAGAGGGGGAGCAGCCCAGAGGACAAGCTGGGAGACTGGGCTCCTGGCCTCCTCTCCAGGGCTGATCTGGGGGCCAGAGGGGCTGTCATCATGTGGGGGATGGCGTGGCCGGTGGTGCACAAGCTGCTCCCACCCTCAGGGGCCCGTGGCAGCCACCACTGCACCTGAGCTGGGGGGTGGGCCAGGCTGGGCCAGGCCGGGGAACTCGGGGATGCGCAGCCTCAGGACTCCTGGCCGGGAGGATGCCCCTTGGGAAGGAGGAGGAGGATCCCGGGAGAGCTGGCAGGTCAAGACCTGCTCCCCACTGACCAAGGGGGCTGAGCCGACTCTGGCTGCAGGAGACGACACCCTGGGAAGTGCTCTCAGGGACAGTGTCCTGGCTCCCACCTGCTCAGCTGCTCTCACCCTGAGGCCCATGACACCCACAGTCCCAAGTCTACCCAAGCTCGGCTGTGGCCCTGGGGCCCCCAGGACACACAAGTGACCCAGGGTCTTGGCGACTAAGCTAAATCCTCAGCTCCTTCATGATTTTTATTTTAAGACAGGGTCTCTATAAGTTGCCCAGGCTGGCCGTGAACTCACGATCCTCACGAGTAGCCGGGAGCCTGGGCGTGCACAACCACCCTGGCAATATCACATACTTGTTAATGGTGATGGAAAGTAGACCGTCACGGTCAGTTTTGAAGGGGCACCTTGGAATGAGCTCTGGAAATGGAGGGGCTGCAAACCTGGGTTCCAGTCCAGGGCTAAGGCTCGGGGATGTGGTGGGGGAGCTGATCAGCCTCGCTGACGCCGTGTCTGCCCTGCCAAGCTGAAGGGGGGTTTTGCCTTGGGAAAGGCACTGAGTGTTTTTATGGGGGCCGCAGGCATCGGGCTGTGCCCGACGGAGCTCCCATGGGCTTCTGTGGTCTCAGCCAGGTGTCCTGTGACCCCTCAGCGGCGAGGCCACCCTGGCAGCTTGCTCTGTCTCAGGGTCCACTGATGTCCCCACATGGCTCCACCTCGGGCAGCTGTCAAGTCTGGTCATGCCCAACCTGCACCTGGACAAGTCCTGTTGCCTCCATTCCCAAGGTACTCAAATGTCCCAGCGGTCAGGAGAGGTGCAGGGGAGCCCTGGACTCGGGGTGGTCTGGTTCCAGTACCTCTTGTTCCTTCCTGGGTGGGGATGCCTGAGCGACCCACGAGGAAAACCCACCGCGGCCCTTCCTCTCCCTCCACGGGCACTGAGTGGGCTCCCGGGGCTGCTCATAGTGGCCATGTCAGTGTCCACCAGGGGGATTGTTAATGGTCCTCTGACAGCTGGACAGGCTTTTCCTCATACGTCACTGTCACCATCAACACTGCCACTGTCACCTTTGTGTGAAAACACTACCCATGGCTGCAGATGTCACTTCCTGGACTGGATTCCTGGAGCCACTAGAGGGTGCTCATTTTTATGGCTCTTCAAGGTGATGAGTTTCCTCCAAAACCATCTTGCGGAATTCGCCTCCTCCCGTCCCCAGGTGCTCGGATGCCAGTGTCCCCACGAGCGCCCATCCCCCTGCGGTGCCTCCTCTCGGGTGCCCGTTTGTGGCGTCTCTCCTTTGCTGTGGCATCTTACTCTGGCCATGGTGGAACTTCAGAACCACCGTCCAGATCCCTGAGCAAGGAAGCGCTCGTCCCCAGCCACAGGGAGGGACCTCTGCAGAGGTCACGCCCTCCCAGAGCAGCCCTTCCCTGTGGACTGAGGTGGGACAGAACGGCCAGGACCCCTCAGTCCTCCTCAGCATGACTCCAGGGACCCAGAGCTCCTGAAGGGGACGGCCGCTGGGGCTGCTTCCTGGCTTGGCTTCTCCCGGGCCTCTGTGGCCACAGGGGTCAAGGTCAAGGGCAGCCCCTAATGTGTACCCACGGTAGAGCGGCTATCCCAGGACACGCCCAGACAGCTTGTTGCGTGTTCTGGAACAAGACCCTGGTGCACAACCAGGCCCTGGAGGAACCCGCACTGTGGGCCTCAGCACCCTCTCCAGGGAAGGCCAGGTCCCGGCCTCTGGGAGGCTGTGGGAGCCTCTCCGGGGAGCTGTGGTCCACCAGCCGCTGGCTTCCCTAGCTGTGCTGGAGTCCACTAACTCCCCTGGTGACACCACTTGACTCCTAATCCAAAAGCTCCAAATCCCCAAACCTTGCACCCCGCAGGATGCCACGGGGGAGACTCCACACTATGAAACTGCTTCATCCACAGAATTATTTAAAATATAAACACAGTGTTAACATACTTTATATACAACCAGAGATAATGGAAAATTGTGCTGCATACATGTAGTAAGAATTGTAATGCATTCTGCTGTCATTTATTTTTTAAAAAAATCAATAAAAAAATAAATAAAACAGTTTTGGGTGGCTAAAATATATATATAAAGATATGCTGTCCATCTACAACTACAAAAAAAAAAAAAAAAGTGCTCAGGGTGTAGTTCAGAGAGCAGCCCCGGGTCCCGTTCCCAGAACCACAGAAAACAAACAAATAAAGACAAAAACCGTCAAAACCGCCTCTGGCTTTGTGTAAGGTCAGCTCTGTCCTCAGGCTCAGGTTCAAGGTCTCACCATTATGTCAAATATTTCAAAATTGAACGTATACATCTGTCACGCCTGGTCTGAGCGTCTCAGCCTGACTGGGTGGCCTCTAAAGGCGCCCGGCACCGGGAGCGCCTCCCTCGGGTGCGCCCACTGGCCACCGTCCACTTACCGATCAGCATCTCCATCCCATAACCAGAGTCCTCCGAGGGCAGGTGCCCGGGCATGGAGTCCGTCATTTCTTCAGAGGTGGGTGAAGGGTCTGCAGAGAGAATCCCAAACAACAAGGGCGCTTTCCGCCTGCTCTGCCTGTCAGGGTTCCTCAGGGTCCCCGTGGGCCCAGCAGGCCCACAGACCAGGACACGTGGAGGAAGCCGTGCCCTAGAGTGCAAGGACCAGCGGTGCCGGGCTGGGCAGGTCCAGTGGCTGGCCCCATGCCACCCCTGGAGGCCACGCACACCCTGCCTCACAGAAAGGGGGTGAGGCTCAGACTGCCCCCACCTTCTTCCTCCTTGTCCAGCCTCCCAAGTGCCAGGAGCCAGGCCAGCCTGGCGAAGGTCAGGGTGACTTTCAGGAGAGTCCAAGGAGGGAGCAATAGCTCCCTCCATGGCCGGGGGCTGGCCAAGCTTCCCTGACACCCTGACGGCCATCAGGATGGACGCGGGAGAGTGGCCTGGGGACTGTGACGCCAGCAGCTTGGCTTGGCAGGTCCAGCAGGCACAGCACTGACCTCAGGGCCTCACCTGGGACAGTGACCTGAATGATGTCCAGATCCTCGGGCTCAATCTTGATGGGCCTCAGGATGCCTAGCTCCCCGGAGGTTCCTGAAAGGAGAAAATGGGGGACCGGTCAGGTCTGGGTATGAGCCCGGCAGGCAGGGAGGGTAGTTCCAGAACCTTCTTACATCTGACTTGCTAGTAAGCCCTGAGGAATGTTCTGCCCGTGCCCTGGCTCCTGCCCAAGACCAGGAATGGAGGGCGGGCAGGCCTCAGGCCTGACTGGCGTCCCCAGGTCTCAGACCTGGCAATGAGGTCCGGAGACGGAGCTGCCTGTCCATGGACACAGGGGGCAGGACCCCGGTCTCCAGCCCTCCCTGGACTTCCCAGCATGCCCTCTCCCTCAGGGTGGGCAAAGCGCATCCCAGCTGCCTGGGCTCATCTGGACTGCTCTCCCCAGGGCTGCCCGCTGGGGCTGTGCCACCCCCCATGCCCGCAGGCCCAGGACCCACCCGGGGCCCTGCCCTTCTCACCTGGCCCACAGTCTTCTGAGACGCTGCCTTTGTCTGACCTGGGGATAAAGCCAGGAAATGACCAGGTGTTGGCCTTGGACAGGACCCTCCTGCCTGTCAGGAGCCCACAGTGGACACCGCTTCAAAGCAGCCCCAGCCGCGTCACCGTGGCGCTCCCCACCCCATGACAGCCAGGCTCCCCGCATCGTGCTCCGGCCACAGTCCTGCTGAGCTCTGCTCCCCTCCCACCAGAGGAAGCTCCAGGTCCAGGGACCAGGACCGACCAGGCTGGAGGCCTCAGGCCCAGCTGTACAGGGCTGGAAGGCCGGCGGTGACCCGGGCTGGAGCTCAGGGCCGGGGCCTGGGGGTGAGGACCAGGCCGTGCAGAGTGCAGACTGGCCTTGGCATTCAGGACAGGTGGCCGCCCCAGGGTGGGTATTCAGGGGAGGTGGCTGAGACGGTGACACCCGGCTCGTCCTCAGGGATGTGCAGTCTCCAGTGGGGAGCAGGGGGTCCATCTCCTCGGCCCCCCATGGACCCTCCCTGGCCTGCGGAGGGTGTGTGCGGGGTCTGTGGCCTGAGGTGACCTGCAGGCCTGCTGGGGGACGTCGGCTGGTGGAGCCTCCCCGGGCCCAGCCCAGAGCTAGGGGGGGGGCCTCACCGAGCAGTCGCAGCCAGGTCGAGCATGGTGGCCCTGGGGACCTCTGCCGAGGTGTCCTCTGGTGGGCTGGCAGGCTCCAGCTTCGTGGGGTCTTTGGTAAACTTGTTCCCTGGAGGGAAAGGCTGGGGTCACCTGGCAGCCTCTGTTCGAAGGTCCTGAGGGAACCCCTGATGTGGGGGGGGTCTGGCCTCTGTCCCTCCTCGTGGTCTTTGTGTCCAGTCAACAGCCTACAAGGGGTCCTAGGGAGAGGAATCTCCCCTGGGAGCAGGAACAGTGGCCCAGTGCCAGGACAGGTCAGAGGGCAGAGGAGACAGAGGTCCAGCTCAGGTGCCCGTCCCTTTCTGGAGGCTCTATGACCCAGAGAACTTGTTCATCGGGAGCCCTGGAGAAGGGGGGGCTCCCCAGGCTGCGCCCAGGACCACGCCGTCCCTTCAGCTATGCCGGGAAGGAGGGAGGGGGTTCTCTCATCATCCCTCCGGGTAAAACGGAGGTCACAAGCTGGTTGGGGGGCTGCATCCCGACACCTGTGTGGCTGGGCAGAGGCTGTCCCTCTTCCCAAGAGGCGTCTGGGCTCTGAGCCGCTGAGCCGCATGAGAGCCAGGCCCCTCTACCTGGCTGGGCTCAGTCCCTTCCTCCATTCGTGGGACAACAGCGAGGCCACCTCCCGGGACGGCTGGCAGCTATTAGTGCCCAGCAAGCACCACCTGGCTCCACCGGGCCCCACCACAGGGGTTCCAGACGGTTGGCACCTGAGAGCCCGGGGCCCACGGTGGTCCCAGGACGCAGAAGCCACAGCCCAAGAGAACGGGATGCAGAATAAGCTCAGCTCGGGTCAACTCAGGGGCTCTAGAAGGGTCCAGAGAGTGTCCCTTACCTGTGAAGATTCGTTCATCAAACATCCTGGGGAGAGAGGAGAGATGGGTGAGGGGGATCGTCGAGGGCTCTCCGGGGCTCAGAGGGTGCCAGGGGATGGCCACTGGGTCCCACCTGCACCTCCCCAGACCTCAAACACCTTCCACTGTTTCTGCACGGCCAGGGACACCTGGGCCAGCCCCTGGTGCCCCTGGAGGGCTCATGGGTGCCAGGGCCTCCGCCAGCCCCCAGCTCTCCTTGGCCACAGTGAATGATTCCAAAGTCCCTTTCTTTCTTTCTTTTTTTGGTAGCAGGGATTGAACTCAGGGGCACTCAACCATGAGCCACACCCCAGCCCTGTTTTGTATTTTATTAGAGACAGGGTCTCACTGAGCTGCTTGGGGCCTCACTGTTGCTGAGGCTGGCTTTGAACTCGTGATCCTCCTGCCTCAGCCTCCTGAGCCACTGGGATGTGCCACTGTGCCTGGCTCCAAAGTCCCTTTCCCAGGGACCCTCCATTACAAACCCTTTGTTCGCTTATCCTACGAGCTTCTGACACCACCTGCCTCTCAGGGACCCCACCAGGCCTGGGGAGGGACCGTGGTAACGTGGAGTGACCTGCAGGGCCTCAGCTGTGTCTCAGAAGCCAAGGGGACCCAAGCAGGGGGCGGCTGACCGGTACCCGAGGAAGGGCCTGAGCTTGGGTGAGAGGGTGAGGCCGGAGGGCAGGGCAGGACGCAGGGTAGGACCCAGGCTAGGCCTCCCCCTTGGGGACACCGGACCCCAGGGCCCCACAGGGTCAGACACAAGTGGACGGGTTGCAGAGGACCAGCCAGGGGCGGCTCGGTCAGCAGATAAGACGCCCGAAGCTCAGCCAAGTGGAGTAAAGGCCGGCAGGGGTGGGGCTCGTCACCTGCGCACACCTGTGCTCCCACTGTCCTATCCTGGGCCCTCACTGGGGTGGTGGGGCTGGCGGGAGGGAGGCCTGCAGCAGAGCCTCCCTTGGTCACTCAGGCTCCAGGTGACACGCAACAAGTGAAGGATGTCCAAGCTCAGCACTGGTCTGTGTCCCCAGGAGGGCCCAGCAGGATATTAACAGAGGTGAAAATAAGTCAGCCCTGGAGGCCCAGCCAGGGAGGCCATGTGGAGTCCAGGTGCGGCCTCCTGCTTTCCTGAGAGGTGGAGGCCAGGCTGGCTCCCTGGGGCTCCTGGGACACACCCGTCTGCACCCACAGGCCCCATGGCAGTCACTCAGGGCCCCCTTCCTGAGGCCGCCTCAGCCCCACCTAGGGGGAGCGGCCACAGCACCCACCAGCAGGCCCAGGGGCTTCGTCATCTGAGGGGTTATTTATTAATCAGGGAGCGCAGGGCGGGGGCAGTGGGGCGGGGACGGCAGAGCAGGGCCCGCAGCTCCCTGGTCAGAGCCCTCCTGGGCGGCTGGACGGCCAGGCCCGCTCAGAGGACATGGGCTGAGGGGTGCTGCAGCCCTGAGTTCTGGAATCTTCTCCCACGTCTGCCTCGGGGAGCACGTCCGGCCCGATCTGGGTGCTCGCTCTGGGTCAGAAACACGGTCCTGGGCATCGGGCTGGGGTCCCGGCCCGAGCTGGGGTCCAGGGTGAGACTCGTAACCAGGCCAAGTTCAGGGGTCCCCTCAAGAGCGTCCGGACCTCACATGCCCAAAACAGGCCTGGGCCGGGTCGGGACTCCTGCCCGCTGCGTCCTGCGCCGCCCACTGCCCACTCACCTCTGCCAGGACCATCGACTGTTCACTGGCACGACGGGTGGGGGTAAGAGGACAGTGGGCGGGGCCCAGGACGCAGCAGCACCTCCTGTACCCTGTACCCTCCTGTACAGCGTCCCAGGCACCACCCCAAGGCACAGACAGTCACCAGGTGGTTTTTCTGCCACTTTGGGGGTTGAACCTGGGGGCTCTACCACTGAGCGGCACTCCCAGGTCTCCCTGAGCTGCCCAGGGTGGCCTCGAGCTCGGGCTCTTCCTGCCTCAGCCTCCCGAGTCGCTGGGACCACAGGTGCCGGCCTGCGGCCTGGCCCCCGCCCCTAGCTCTAGACAGGCCCTGCTTTGCCCCAGGGGCCCTGGTCTCCTCCTGGGGAGGCCTCACGGGCTTCCTGGGCAGGTGCCACCCAGGGCCTGTGGGGCTGATGCATCCTTGACTCAATCCCTGGGTGTCGGCCCCCGAGGGCCGCTGTGGGCAGGAGGGGACTGAGTCTGCTGCCCTGTGATGTCGCCGGCACTGCCCAGGGAAGGCCCGTGGCTTCAGTGGGGGCACATATCGGTGAAGGACTGAGTGGGCTACAGTTTGGATCAAAGAATAGGGCACTCGAGTCCAGTCACAGCCGGGGCCTAAGCCCATGGAGAGGTACATCAGGGAACACAGGACTCCCCTTGCTGCCTTCTCCTCCCTGAACCTCCCAGCAGGAGTCAACTGAGGGAAAAGGACTTGATGGCAGCAAGAGAAACTGAAGCTAGCCCTAAGGAAGCACTGCCTGACAGAAAGTCTACAGAATGCAATTCACCTCCAGAATCAATCTGCAATGGGGACCCAAGGTCCCGCTGAGAGGGCCCAAGAGATGGCCCAGACGCGCCCCAGCCCCGAGAGGAGTCTGCTAAGGTGGTGGTGGGGGCCACCTGCCGACAGAGGTCAGCTTCTTTCTGAATGAGGCCAGCGGGGGCTTTTAGAGGCAGAGGAGAGTGAGCCTTGAAGACAGACCGGTGGGACTCCGGCAGGGACAGAGAGGGAAGGCCCGAAGGCCTGAAGACCCGGGTGACCAGCTTGTGCCATGCTGCATCCAGGACTGGGAAGGAGGCGCGGGCAGGGGACTGCAGACCCACTGCCAGGCTGCACCCGGGGCTGGGGCAGGGCTGTACTGAAGCAGCCTGGACAGAGCTGGCCTCCTGGTGGCTGCCTTGTCCCCCAGCCTCACAGGACCCCAGGGGCTGTCCCTCTGACCGCTGCTCCCCTGGGTCTCTCCTAGGCCTCGCTGAGGGACGGGTTTCCTCACTAAGCTGGGCTTCTGCCCCGAGTCCCTGACAAGTGACCTTGACTTGGGAGCCCCGGCCCCTGAGCAGCTGGCCGCAGGCACTGCGGGGACGGCCCTGCTCGCTCCGATCATGGCCAGCGCCCTGAGCAGCAGCCCAGGTCCAGGACCCGGGTCAGTGCTTGTGAGAGCTGGGGCTGCGGGTGGGCGCTCGTCCACTATGTGGGGCGGGGCCGACCCGGTGCCCCAGGACAGGAGAGAGGAAGGTACGGGAAGGATGGCGCGCGCGCACACGCGCACACACACACACACACACACACACACACACACACACACACACGGCACCCGGCTCCCCCTGCCCTGAACGCCCGTCGTCCTTGTCCCCACAGCTGAGCAAAGCCGCTGACACGGGCCTGTTCACACCAGCTCCTCCCGAGTCGGAGGCCGGACACACAGAAGTGGGGAGCAGGATGCTGGGCAGGCCGCATGGCAAACCGGCCACCTCTGGCTCACCCTCATGGGCCCGGGCAGCCCCCCCATCGCTGGCCATGGCCCCCTGGGGACCCCGGGCCCCTGCAGCCCAGGACCTGCCTTTGCCCAGCAGCCAGAGGGCGGGTCAGACCCCAGCCCCCGCCATGGCCCTTCCCGCGGGTGGGGGCGTCAGAGCTGACCCCAGCGGTGCTCTCCCTGCTCCCTGTGGCCCGCACACCACCCCTCGGCCTGGACCCTGCCCAGCTCTGGGGGGCAGCCCCTCCCCCACTCAGCTCCGGCCGACACAGGGACCTTCTCACAGGTGCCCGGCCACCCTGTGCAGTGCCCCGGTGCCCGTCCTTCGCGCATTACTACCCTGTTGATTTCTGCTCTTTCTCCCCTGCTCGGATGGAACCCGCCTCGCCCACGCTGGGCAGGGAAGTGCCTGCGCTGACCGCACCCAGCCGGCCTGGCTCACTTCTGAAGCCCTGAGACCAGACTGTGGGAAGCCAGCACTCACTCACTCCCCCAGCGCCCACTGGGCACTGCGATGCCAGGGGCCACGCTGGGCACTGGGGATCAGCAAGGAGCACCACGGCCCGGCCCAGCTCCGTGGCGTGACCGGGCCACGTGGAGGTGCACGTGGAACAGACCCCGGGGCCACAGGACCTCCAAGACAGACGCCGGGAAGTGGCCAGGGGCAGGGGGCTGGACGCTGTGTCCAAGGCCGCCCTTCCATCCTTACCCACATAAGAGAGGTCGCAGGAGGACTGGCTCTCCCTGGGCAGGCGGCAGCTCTGGGAGGGGCAGCTGGGGGCTCCCAGGGGCTGCAGCTGAGTCCTCCCACCCACCTGGGCCCGGGGACATAGGCAAGCCAGGACGGCAGGCGGGGCAGCCCAATGGGAGGGTGTGAAGGGGCGGCTGGCCCAGCCAGGTGGAGCGCAGGCCGGCCAGTGAGGGCAAGGCCTCTGGTCTCCTTTAGGGGGAAGAGCACAGCTGCTCAGGTTGGGCACTGTGCCTCTACCTGATCCTCCAAGAGGCCCAGAAAGGGAGGCTACCCAGCAACGCTGCTTTCCAGACTTGCCCGATCCCTGCTCAGCAGAGGCCCACCCCAGGCCAGCCCATACCTCTTGATGATGAAGTGGATGCTGTGTCTCTCCTCCAGGATCCGCTTCAGCTTGGGGACCCCGTACGTGCAGGGGCGCTTGAAGGGGATCTTGTCGGGGATGCCCACGATTTCCACAGCCTCGGGGTCGCAGGCGATCTTCCTGTAGGGGACGGGGACCATGTGGTCCAGGCCCAGGGCTTCCGCTGCAAGGGCAATGGCAAGGCTGAGCGCAAGCAAGGCCGCGGGATGCACGGGGCAGGGCCAAGCTCATGGTCCCCCAGCATCCAGCACCCTCCAGGTCGGTGCGGCGGCAGGACGTCAAATCACGCCCCTTGCTCTTTAAGAGATGTCCAGGGGCTCCCATCCCAGTGACACGCGAAGTCCTGCCATGAACCCATGAGCCGCTGTCACCCCTGAGCTCGCCTGCCACTTTCTAGCCCTGGGCTTCCTCAGCCTGGTATCTCTGGAGCCTCGTGCCTCCCAGCCTCCAGCCACCTCAGGACCTTTGCATGGGGTCTTCCATCCGCCCTGGCCTCCCTCCCTCCTCTCAGCCTGGGATCCAGCCAGGGCTGGGCACGGAGTGTGCCTCCTGCACCACAGCTGAATGAAGGCCTGAAGAAAGCATGGGCTCCAGGTCGGCCCTGCGGGAGGAATGCACGCAGGTGTGTGCAGGTGTGTGCTGGTGTGCACAGGTGTGTCCTCTTCTCCTTTCACTCATCTTTCTAGAGGCTGGTGCTCAGCCACAGCAGGTGCTCAGGGTCTGGGCCTGGCGCGGCTCCCCTGCCCTGTCTCTCACAGCTGGGCCTGGCCGGTGCCCAGGGCCACTCCTGCCCGGTGCCCAGGGCCACTCCTACCTGCCGTCCTCACTCATTCACCCAAACACCTCCAGCACCCACACGTGCCAGGACCCGGGTTCCCCGGGCTGCGGAGGCCTCCGGGGACGAGCTGGCTGGGGCATGTGCCTTGGGACGGGCCCAGTCACACTGAGCTCTCACTGTCCCCGGGGCCGTGTCCTCACAGTGCTGTCTGCTTCCCAGAGTTGTCCCCAGCTCTGCGCCCATCCCCCTCCCTCCCTGTTGACGCTGTTTCTCTGTTGATGTGGCCCAGGTCCGCGGGGGTGGCTTCGGCAGCCAGTTCCCGCTGTGAAGTCACACTTAGCTCGTTGTCAAATTAAACCCTTGAAATCTCAACAGCTGTCATGTGTCTTCCCCGCCCCCCCCCCCCCCCCCCCCGTTTCCAGCTGGGCTCCTCTGCCTGGTGCGTGGACTCCTCGGGATGAGGGGATTCGGTAGACAAAGGAGCAACCCCACCAGCCCTCATCCTGCCCCTGGGAAGAGTCTGTGTGCAGGGCCCTATGCACGGCCCTAAGCACCCTCTGGTCTCAGCATCTTCCAGGTGACAATGTCCCTCTTGTCCTTGAGAGGCCCTGAAGGTTGGGGCGTACCTCATTCTTTTGCCCCACACCCCAATCTCGGGCCCACTCTGCCCAGATTTGCCAACACCAGGACAGCCCAAGGCAGATGCCAGCCCTCCAAATCTAAGCTGAGACGCTACCGCTGCAGGTCCTGGGGACCCCCGTCCTCCTCGGGTCTGGGGGACACACACCTCGGCTGCCAGACAGCACCCCCTCCACGGGCCCAGCATGGTGGGCGCTGCCTCCTCCCCAGGGGGCCCTGGGCCAGAGCCAGGCTCCACACCCCCTGGGATCCGGCCCCAGTGCCCCGCCTGGGAAGGCTCCACGTCCTAGAGTCCAGACCGCGGCAGGCCTGGTGGCGCCTGGGCCTGACCGCAGCCTCCAGGGCCAGCCTGGCGGGGCAGAGCCTGTCCGGGCAGACAGAGCCGACCCCGTCCCCGCCCACAGTCGGGCTCACACCTGCCTGGGTGCGGCTGACTCAGGTGCAGACTGGGCAGACGCGCCCTCCACGGCAGGAGCCTGAGGGCCCAGGAGGAGCCGGTGGGCCAGGGTACCCACATCAAAGGCACCAGGCCACCCACGCCCACGCTCGGCTCTGCCAGCCTCCCGGCCCAGGCCCAGCCTGCCTGGCGCAGCCCAGATCAAAGGGCATCGAGTCCACTCTGCGCCTGTGGCCTGTCCCACCTCAGCTTCCTCCAGCTTTTCTTCCCTACCAACCCCAGTCATTGTGCACTACCGAGCACCACTGCATACACTGAGCACCACTGTATACTACTGTAGCACCTCCAGCCACTTGCTGAAGCCCCTGAGACCACAGTCAGCCACATCACCCCGTCATGGTCCCTGGCTCAGGGTGGGGGCTCTGTGCAGGACTGGCCAGCGAGCAGGCCAGCGACCGTGTGGGAGGACTGGAGGGAGGGGACAGGCAGGAGAGGACAGGGAACAGGTAGATCAAAGACTCTCAAGGAAGAGGGCGGAGGCCGCGCAGGCTGGGGGCAAAGGGCCTGGCTGGAGGCCCCCGCCAGCGCCTGCGGAATCCCCGGCCTGTGGCCTCCTCCTGGGGGTCCTCTCCCTCTGCTCTCTTGGCACTGTCACACGAGGGACAAGCCTACAGTGCAGGTCAGCGTGAGGCAGGTGATCGTGACACCCTACCTGGTCACGGAGTGATCCCTGGGCCTGTGTCACCTCCTAGTGCCTGAAAGCCACTGGCTCAGGCAGGGGACACACAGCATGTGGCTTACGGATGGGACTCAAGAAAGGCTGAGTGAACAAGTGGGTGCGGTGGTGGGGACCTGAGGACCCGAGGAGGATGGGGGTCCCCAGGACCTGCTGCGGGAGTGTCTCAGCTTAGATTTGGAGGTCTGGCATCTGCCTTGGGCCTGTCCTGGTGTTGGGGACCGGCAGGGCAGGTGACAGGCAAGGCACGTCCCCTGCACAGCTCACGCAGGACGGGGACCCTCAGGGCTGGGCACCCAGGGACCTGGAGGGGGTCCCCCACGCTGAATCGTGAAAAGGATTTAGGTGTTTATGCCCCAAACGTGCAGGCCACGGGCAGGACAGGGCAGGCCAGGCTGTGGGCAGGATAGGGCAGGGCCAGGCGCCTGGGACCTGCCAGTAGGAGGCCACAAGTATCCCGGCCCCAGTGTCCCCCAGACTGGCACTGCCTGCCTCTCCCCAGGAGACCCGGTCCAGGGCTGCCATCCGCTCCGCCCCCAGGAGTCTGCAAGGGAAATATTGACACAGCCGCCCCCACCCAGCCGGCTGGCGCAGCGCGGCCGGTGGCGGGTGCTGGCATATGGCTCCCGCCACCGTGTTGGGGAACAGAGTGACGGCCGCCGCCCACTCACCGTATCTGCTGTTGAACAGGATCTGCACGCACTCCCGCAGCGTGTTGATGTCCTCCGTCTCCCTGATGAAGGCGTCCCACTTCTCTATCAGAACCCAGGGGGCACCGTCAGGGAGCGGCCCCCAGGAGCCCCGACTCCCTGCTGCCCGGGCCTCCCGGCTGGGCCTGCACCCAACAGCGGTGACCTGTCCATGGCCCAGGCGGGCTTCCTCCTCCAGAGCCACCTTCCCACACCATCCCGCGACACCCATCCAGGTGCTCAGAGGGCCTCCCACAGCACACGGGCTCCCCACGGGCTCCCTCCTGTCCCCATATGCCCTGCGTGCTGTGCAGCTCAGGCCTGGCCAGCCTGGCCTTTCCTGCCCTGGGCATGCGGGTGGTTGGGGGGGTCTCCCTGAGGAAACTTGTCTCCCCCAAGTGCTTGGGTTGAACCCGGGGCACTTGACCACTGAGCTACTCCCCAGCCTCTTGTTTTTCATTCTGAGACTAGGGTCTCGCTAAGTTGCTGAGGCTGGCCTCAAACTTGCGATTCTCCTGCCTTAGCCTCCCAAGTTGCTAGAATTACAGGTGTGCACTACCGTGTCTGGCTCCTGGCGAACTTTCAGACACTGACATCACTCCCATGTTGTACACGGGAAGACTGGAGCTGAGAACCCTGTGAGAGACCCTTGTGAGGTCCCCTGTGTGCCCCTGACTTGCCTCCCACCACGCTCCTCCACCTGGACAGCCAACCTCCTGCTCTTCCGGGCCTGAACCTTGTTTGGGGGTAGGGTGGTCCCAGGGGACTGGGTTTTCTTAAAGAGCCTCTCAGCAGAGCTGAAGACCCTCTGAGCAAACCTGCTGAGGTTGGTGTAACCACAGCTCTCCTGCTCTCGGTCCCTCTGTGTGGTTCTTACAAAGGAAGACAAGGGTACAGGTTCAAGGGGGTCATACCCAGCTCCAGCTGTGGCCTCGGGCCTGGGGTAACAGCCTCGCCTGACTAGGAGACCTCAGAACAGTGGTCTGTGACCACGAACCAAGGCCAGTCCAGGACCAGGGGTCCCACGTCATCCTGTACCAGAATCTACTATCCAAATGCCACAAGAGCAAATGTGGAAGGTCACCTAGAGATTTTCTGCTTTTGTTTATTTATCTTACAGAATGTAACCCAGGCTTGGAGCGTGCGCGGCGAGAGCTCTCCCTCTGAGCCACACACCCTGGCCCTGCATTTCTATTTTATTTTTCTTTCTAAATACTCCTTGCAAGAGGTGGAGTGTGACCCTTCTCTGAGTGTTGGCTGGACCAAATTTCAGGTTCTCATGATAGGATGTGGGGAAAGTGACAGCAATTTCTGAGGCAAGGCCATCAAGGACATGCCTTCCCCACTCTCTCGGGTCACTGACTTGGGGAACCGGCTGCCATGTGGGAAGGAAGCTCAAGCAGTCCTGGAGACCAGCCCACATGGGGAGGAGCCGAGGCCTGCTGTCCACAGCCATGGGAGCAGCCTGGGCAGGGAGCCTCCAACCCCAGTCAAGGCTTCGGATGAGACGGCAGCCCCGGCTGACATTGTAAATGCAGCATTGAAGACCCTGAGCCAGAACCACCTGTCAAACCCGCTGCTCCTGAACTCCTGACCCACAGAGACTGTGAGCAACCCGTGCTCCTTGAGCTACATCTTGGGGCACTTTGTTATGCAGCACAGGTTACTGTTACACCTGATGCCAACTCGGCCTCTAGGGCAGAGCTGTTCCTCCTTCTCCCACAGAGACCTAGTGGGCATGTTTCTATTTCGGCCATACCGTCCACCGAACGCCCGCTCTGCCCCGGTGCCACCACGGGCACTGCCCTACCTGACTTGTCATGGACGATGGAGAAGAGAATGCGCTTGGAGGCGTGGACGTTCTGGATGAGAGGCCCTCCAGGCCCCGGGGGCTTCTGTCCTGGACAAGGGAGAGAAGGTACAGGTTCAAGGGGGTCATACCCAGCTCCGGCTGTGGCCTCGGGCCTGGGGTAACAGCCTTGCCTGACTGGGAGACCCCAGAACAGTGGTCTGTGACCGCAAACCAAGGCCAATCCAGGACCAGGGGTCCCACATCATCCTGTACCAGAATGTACTATCCAAATGCCACAAGAGCAAATGTGGAAGGTCACCTTGTCCAGGCGGGGACGGTCAGGTGTGAGCCACCCTCTGTTCAGCCCACACGCCTGGGGCGGGCTCTGTCTTTTGCTCTCCTTCCCTTAATAGTAATATCACTAAAAGCTCCTACTATGTGCTTCACACTTGAGCACTGGCACCCCTCGCAGACTCAGTCGGCCAGCCCCTCCCAGAGCGGCAATTCGGCCCTGAGGACCATCCTGAGACCTGCCTTTTTCTTTTTGCAGTGCTAAGGATGGAGCCCAGGGCCTTGCCATGGCAGGGGGCTCGCGACCCAGCAGCACCCCAGCTCAGGAAGGCGGCACCCCAGCTCAGGAAGCCGCACTTCCAACCAGGTCTATGTAGAGCTGCTGGAGCCGCAGCCCTGTCACTCAACCATGGCAACCTCCCTGCCCAGCGCTGACACTAAGTTACAAGTGGAAAATTCCACACCTAGCCTCATGGCACAGGTCCAGCTCACAGAGCAGGTGAGCGGAGAGTGTTGTTTAAAGCCGGGCACATCTGGGATCCCAGCAATTTGGAGGCGGAGGCAGGAGGATTGCAAGTTAGAGGCCAGCCTCAGCAACTTAGAAAGGCCCTACAACTTAGTGAGGTCCTATCTCAAAATAAAAAGGGCTGGGGATGTGGCTCAGAGGAAGAGCACCCATGGGTTCGACCCCTGGTACCAAAAAACAAAGTACAAGATGACACTTGGACTATGCATAAGGTATGGATGGAAGAGAAAAGAATTTCATGTTTAGATAACCCCAAAATACCTCATTATGCATATGCAAATGTTCCAAAACCAGGGGGAAAATCTGAAACTTCTGCTTTGTTCTGGCCCTAAGAATTCTGGAGAAGGGCTACAATATGTACAAGCACCCCATTTTATAGGTGAGGAAACTGAGGCTCAGACCTACACAGCCACTGGGCAGAAGAGCCTGGGTAGGAACCCAAGTCTTCCTCCTGTTCTCCCCAGGGCCCTGACCAGGCTAGGTATGCACTAGGTGCTCATTAAATGTTCAGACTCCTCGAGGAGTCCCCTCAGTCATCACCTGGTGTCAGGGGGTTGAGCAGAGGCCCAGGTCCCGCTGGCTCTCAGCCCAGACACACCTCCTACCAGCCGTGGGCGGGGCCTGAGCTGGCCGCCTGAGACAATGACCCACTGTGTGACCCATGTGTGCGACCCGTGTCCCACCCCGACCTTCAGGTCCCAGCAGCAGTGTTACCACAGCAGTCGGAGAAGTCCTGGGCTCCGGGGGCCTTGGGCTCAGGCCCGGGCCGGCCCAGGCCCAGGTCGCCGGGGGCCAGCGGGCAGGAGGGCGGTTCCTGCTTGAGCTCGCGGAGGGTGTGCACTGGGAGCGCCGTGGTGTACAGGAAGCTGGCCACGGAGGAGGAGGTGGCCGTGGGGGGCATGTCCTGGGGGGCGGCCTTGGGGACCTGGCCGTGCAGGCTGCAGTCCCGAGACCCCCTGGGCAGCAGGGAGATGCCGTTCAGCTCCACCAGGGCCTTCGAGTCCCGCCCGCCATCCTCGAGGGGCCTGGGTGAGGCAGAGGATGCAGGGCATTCATACACTGTCCTTGTCCTGTTCTGTCCCTCGACAGCCCCCTGCACCCTGGACCCTGGGCAGCTAGGAGCAGCCCCTGTTCTGTGGGTAGGGCTGCAGGCCAGGGCTGGGGGGCGCCCAGAGCCACACCACTGGGCCCCAGGAGCCTGTGGCCGGCTCCAGGCCTCTGGGCTCCAGGCTCCTGGTCACGGCGGCAGCTGGCTGCTTCCTTCCTCTGCTTGGGAACGATGCGGGTGACGGCTCTCGGGTACAAGGTGAAGCCCCACCTGCCTCCCAGCCTGAGCCACCCCGTCTCCCAGGAGGTCCTAATGACCAACTCTGACCCCAGCCCATCCTCGCATATGAGGCCCCACCTCCACTGCTACGCACTCTGTCCCTGACGCCGGGACACCACCGGAGCAGCCCTTCTCCTGTCACTGCAACACAAGTCCCCTGGGAAGTCTCCCCCCGGCCCAGGCCCTGGCTGTGGTCCTGCTCTGAGCCTGGCCTTCAGCCTCAGCTCAGGGGGCTTTCACAACCGGGTCCTGGGCCTCTCCAGCCCCGCCCCTGGCGGTCAGTGGCCTCAGGTCTGCGCCCAGGCTGTGCCCTGCTCACCTCTTGAGCTTGAAGCGGATGCGGTGGCTGTGCTCCAGGATGGCCATCAGGGCCTCGGGGTCGTACTCTGCCGGCCTCCGGAAGGCCAGGCCCTCAGGCAGGCCCTGCACGGCCAGCAGCCCGGGCTCCCTGAGCAGCCTCTCGTAGGGCAAGGGCACCACACTGGCCCTGCCCAGGGCCTCACCTGTCAGGGAGAGAGCAGGAGGGTCAGCAGGGGGCCACCAGGCTGGGACCAGGAGATTCACAGGGGGCCGCCAGGCTGGGACCAGAAGATCTACAGGGGGCCACCAGGCTGGGACCAGGAAATACACAGGACCCCCACAGGCCCCCGGCTGCAGACCCAGCCTAGGAAACCCTAAGGGGCTGAGGCCAGGGCCCCGCTGTCTGCACCCAAGGGCGGGCGCCCTGGTGGGGAGCCACCTGTTCCCGGGACAGCTTCTCCCCTGCACTCAACCCTGGGATGGGGGCTATAGGCAGGACTTGGGGCAGGGCCAGGGCAAGAGGTGAGAGAGAAGGGAGGGCAGGGACGAAGAAGGGACTGGCACGCCAGAGGGCCCAGGATGAAGGGAGAGGATGAGAGAAAGCAAGACACAGAGAGGGAAAGAAGGGGGGACTAGGCCACATGTGGTGGGGCACGCCTGCATCCCAGCTACTCAGGAGGCTGAGGCAGGAGGATCGCAAGTTTTGAGGCCAGCCTCAGCAACTTAGCAAGATGCTATCTGAAAATGTAAAATAAAAGGGCTGGGATGTGGCTCACGGTAAAGGGCCCCGGGCTCTGTCCCTGGCACACACGCCCACAAGGAGGGGACCCAGGAAAAGGGAGGAGAGCAAGAAGAAACAGACTTGGAAGAGGGGCATGGGAAAGGAAGAGGGACTGAGAGGGAGGAAGGGCTGGGGACAGAGGGCCCAAGGCTTAGGGACACCTTTGGTCACCCCTATACCACTGTCCCTACCCAGAGCCAGAAAGAGGTCTGCACCCTTCAGCCACCTGACCCTCAAGGTGAGCAAGGGGGGCTGAGGCTGGACGGGCAGGGGTGCAGCAGGGCTTGGCATGTCCCTGTGGCTGGCAAAGGTGACCAGAGCGCCCCAGTCAGTGTGCGTGACAAGCCCTCCACCCAGGGCCTCTGGGGCCCTAGGTCCCCTGGCCTTCTCCTCATCTCAAACCAGCGGGTTTCCTCAGGTCTGTTCCAGAACCCAGAGCTGTCTACAGAACAGATAAAAAGGTTCCTAATGGACAAGGTGGGGTCCTCAGGGACAGGCCCAAGGTCATCCAGGGAGTGTAAAGATCACTGCTGGGGCTCAGAGACTTCCTGTAACCTGACACTCCCCAAGAGAGGCCAAGCCAGGCCTCCTCCCCACCTCCACAGGACAGGGTTCATTCAGTCATTCAACAAACGCTCTGAGCCCCTGCGGTGCTGGGCCCTGAACTCCCAGGCTGGGGACACTAGAAGGGCAAGCACCACCCTGGTGAGGGGACAGTGGGTGCCAGAGAGGCCCTATCCCAGGAGGAGAGGGCTTCCTGAGGCCAGGCCTCAGAGAGTGACACAGGAGTCCCCCAGACAGGGATGGGGAAGGCAGTGGCCCGTGACACAGTAGTGCCAGGGCGTGCTGGGGACAGGAGGGGCTCTGCAATGTGGCTCAGGACACTGGTGTAGCCGAGCATGGAGACAGGGCTGTGGGAGGGGATGGGAGAGCCGCGGTGGGCCCCTAGACGTCAGCCCCAAGCCAGGGAGCACTTCAGACCAGACTGTGCTGAGGACCCCCAACACCTGGGTCATTTCCAGGGTAGAGTGGCAGTGGCCTGAGTGACAGTGGAGACGGGTGGCAGTTCAGGAAACGGGCGGGCAGGACACCAAGCCCTGGGTGCGGAGCTGGGGTAGCCAGGGGCCCCCACCCCCCCAGGCCCAGGTGCGAGGAGAGGGTCTCACTATAGAGGACGTCGAACACCTCCTCCACCATCTTCCGCAGCAGGTACACGTCAGAGCCACGCTCCAAGGAGGACCGTGGGGTGCCCCGGCAGCCCCCCTCGCCCCGCTGCACCTTCTTGGGGTGCTCGCCTTCCGGGTCCTTCCACAGGGGTCCTCCTGTGGGACAGAGCATGAGGTCACGGTAAGCCCATGGCCCCAGATCAACCTCAGGCTGGGACCTGGCTCCGCACGGTGCCCCAGACCTGCCCGGCCACCTGGAGGGCCGGCCCAGCTGTGGCCTCCTCCCTGGCCACCCCCACCTCACCGTGTGACCTCAGCAAGTCCCTTCCCTCTGAGTCTGAGTGCTGAACACTCACGGAGGCTCCATGGCACCCATTCCGCCCACTCCACTGTCCTCTGACCCTAACACACTCCACCTTAGCAACCTGGCCCCCATTTCCTACTGGCCAGAGGTGGAGAGGACAGAGACCCGTCAGGGGGCCATCAGCCGGCAAAGAGGCAGGTTCCTGCCGGGCTGAGCCTGGGAGCGTGACCGGATCCTGGGGAATGTGCCAGAGCCACACCAGCAGGGGACAGGGAGGGTCCCGCAGCCCCCAGCTCACGCCTGCTCCCCTCAGGACCGAGTCCCCTGGGCTATAAATAATGGCTCCCCCGGCTCCGGGAGGTCAGGTGCACCCTCCCGGCCCCAGCCTGGGCCCCAGCCCCACGGGATGGCCACCTGGGGCCCTGGAGGCCCGCCGCACCTCAGCCCAGCACCCACCCTGACCTCGGGAAGGCCCGGGCTCTAGGCTGAGCAGGACAGAGGCGCTGGCAGGGGAAGCCCCCCAACGGTGTGCCCAGCCGGTGGTGCCCAGGGCCCACACGCTGGCCCCGGGAGCAGCCCTGGTGATCGGAAATGCTCAGGACAGTGGCCCCATAGCTGGAGCCACAGCAACCGCTCAGCCCCGGGCCCCCTCCCAGACGAGCAGCTCGAGGCCCACAGGGCCCCGGATGAGCATCCTTCACCATGGGGCAGCGGAGTCGTAAAGTTGGGGTTCACCCAGTTTGAAATCCATGCGAATACACGACACACTTGGGGGAGGGACCCGTGTCTGACCCAGGTTTCACCCTGCCCCATGCACGGCCTCCAGTGGGTGTCCTGGTCTTGGGCTTGTGACCCTGACCTGTCACCGGCAGGTGAGGAATTTCCCACCATGACACGTGATACTCAAAAGCTGCAGGTTTCGGAGCCTCTGGGGCGCGTTCTGAACCACAGGTGCTTTCCCTGCACCAGGCGGCTTGGGGCCAGTGGCCAGGCCACCCACTCAGGCCTGGGCGCCTGGACCTTCACCAGACCCTGGGGCTGAGCCGCGTGGCCCACGGCTGCTGGCCTCCTGGCTGGACTGGGCCCTCATCCTACAGGGTCCCTCCCTGCAGGTCCCAGGCCCGGGTCACCATCAAGGCGAAGCTGACCTCCTCAGGAGGAGGAGGCACCAGCACCTGGACAGGGAGTCAGGGCTCGGGGTGCAGGTGCAGGGCAGGACCACTGTGCAGGGTAGGAGGCGAGGGGCGCACGGGGTGCGGGTGTGGGCGCGGGCGCACGGGGAAGGAGGACGGAATGTGACTCTGAGGCTGGGACACGTCTGCCAGGCAGGGGGAGGCGCCAGGATCTTCCAGAGGGGCAGGAGCAGGGGCCAGGCCTGGGCCGAGGGGCATGGGAAGGCACGGGGGCTGCAGAAGCCCCCTCTGCTAGGGGCCCTCACTCACAGAAGGAGAGCTGGTCCTTTGGAGGGGACCTGGGCCCTGGGTGCCAGCTGTGCACGTGCCTGATTTTCAAGGTTGCATCAGGATGGGCGGGGCCCGGGGCCCACTGACCTGCAGACAGGGCCGCAGACGTGGCCGCAGACAGGGCCACACCGTCTCACCACACGTGGGGGGACAGGGGGCATGTGCTCTCCAGGCCTCGACCCTTCTCTGTGAGCTGAGGGGACGTTCTGGAGCCTGCTGGGCACCTAGCACACCCTGGCCACTGAGGGCCACCCCTGCCGAGCATGTCCCAGTGGGCAGCATGTGGCCCTGTCCCCATGAGCCCCCAGGAGGGAGCTGAGATGATTTCGGCTCTAATAGTGACAGTGCCCACCCCAGGGCAGAGGACGGGACAGACAGCTCACTGGGAGGGGCTAGTGGCACACGTGTCCACCCATCTCAGCTGGACAAGGGCCCTTGGCCCAGACTCAGGGACATGTGGCTGAGAGGACCTGGGTGAAAACACCAGGCTCGGTGTCCTCGCCTGAAAGTGGGCAGATGGCAGTGGCTCAGTCACGCTCACGCAGCCAGCCACTGGGGACAAGGGCCACTGGACAGGCTGCCGGATGTCAGGCCAACTCCACGCGGGGCGAGCAGACCCGGGGAGGGCTGGGGGGCGGATGCGGTACTCACGGCAGAACCTGAGGAAGTCGGCCTGCAGCTCCTTGCGGGCGCTGAGGAACACCCGGCCCTTCTCGGTGCCCACCACGAAGGCGCTCTCGTCGTGCACGGCCACACAGGCCACCTCGGCGTTCAGCTTGGACAGCGCTGAGCACTGCGGGTGGGGCGGGGGCACAGGAGTCCGCTCAGGCTGCAGGGACCCAGCGCAGGGGAGAGGCCGCCCCTCCACCATCCTCCGTCTTCAAATCCGCAGTGGGGACAAGTGACAGGCCCCCAGAGACTGGCCACAGGGCCGGGAGAAGAGATGCGCCTTCTGCTCCTCCCTCTGAAGTCCTCCTAGACCTAGAGGGGCCTCTTGCCTCAGCCCCAGGGGACCTGGGCTTCCATGTTGGCACACGGGAGGACACAGCCCACTGGGCTCTGCTGGCCCATGTACAGAGCTGGGGACAGAAGCCCACACCTAGAGCTTGAATGAAGACCAGGGGCGGGAAGGAAGCCATCTCTAGACTGGGCCACCTCTGCGGGTCCACCGGCCCCAGAGTTAAGCTGGTAGCTCCTTGGCACAGAGGGTCCCTACAGTCAGATACCAGCATCTCAACAGGAAAACCCTGTCTATAAACCTGTGGTATGCAGTTGGCGCCTGATAAATGCTGCTTTTTCTCTTCCTGTGACTCCAGGCTGTATTCTGCCCTCTCTGAGCTTCAACTTCATCATCCTAAGACCCAGGGGTACAGCTAAGAGATGCCAGAGAGACCTCTTTAACACTTGCCAGCTCCTGGCACAGAAGCTTCTCCCAGGAAAAGGACATTATTCCGTCCTAAACCTCCAGAAGAGACTGTGGCTCATCCCGGGGACGGGACATGAATGGCAAGAGGTGACCTAGGAGGACAAGGGCACGAGGCCCAGGCACCAGCATTCATTCCGAGGCTATGGACTTGATCTGGCTGGACCCTGTGCCCACGCTGAGGCAGGACGGCGCTGAGGGGCACAGGCGCCGGGTGGGCAGGGTGGGCGCTCACCATGGCGTCCAGGGCCGACACCAGGCTGGTGATGATCTCGTCTTTGCGGGCGAAGGCAGAGCTCCAGCGGTCAGGCCCGCAGCCGTTGGCGGGGAGGTCACAGCGCTTCCCCAGCAAGGCCATGGTCACCTGGAGGAGGAGGGGAGAGACGGGACGGTGGGCACCAGGCCCTGGGGGAGGGCATGCAGGGCGGCCACCACCCCAACCCCGGACCCCCAAGGCCGCCTCGACTTCCAGCTGCAGCAGACCAAGGCCTTGCGTGCCTCAGGAATCTGAGCCCTGGACAGCGGCTCACGCACAGGCCTGCACAGTGCAGGCCCAGGACATCACTGGGAGGGGCGTCTCATGGCACCACCAGCCCTGGGCCAAGCCCAGTACCATGCCTGCTCTGCCAGATAAGCCCAAATCCCACCGTTCCATGTGTACACAGCTCTGGCCACGGCCTTGCCCCTGCTCACACACCCTCCATGGCTCCCTACTGCCCCTGAGAGCTCAACTCCTGGTGTTCTGGCTTCCTGGCCAGCACCCCCCCACAGCTTAGGCTGCAGGTCTCTCTGTCCCTAAATACACCAGTGTCCTTCCAAGCTGCCTTCGCAGGTTTGGGTCCCCTGGCCTCAGTCTAACGAAGGCGGGGACAGCCCCACTGCCAGCCTATCTGGCTGGGTGCCCTCTCTGGCCTCTCTGTAGCAAGCCACATGCCCTCAGGGCAAGGCTACTGCCCCTGCCTCTGGGCCTCCATCTACTCCGGGTTGTGGGGCTCCGCCTCAGGGCGTAGGCAGGCAGGGCAGGGCAGAGGCCCCTCTACCAGCCGGGGGGCAGGACTTTGTCCTGTCATTACGGGGCTCCTGGAGGCAGAGGTGCGTGTCCCCATCCTGGTGCCTTCAGACCAGGGGAGGCCTCCCCCACCAGCTGGGTCTCCCCCGGCTCTGCTCTCCCTTTCCTGACCCCGGGAATCAGATGGAGGCCCCACCAGCTGCCCAGGGCAGCTCCTGCCCTGTCCCCAAGGCAAGTGGAAGAGAGCACAGCGGTGACCCAGGGTTTCCCTCCCTGGCCTCAGCCCAGGGCTATGCCTGCTCCCTGGCTGGGGGTCAGTGGCCAGTTCAGGGCAGTGGGCAGGGGACAGGCCTGGAAGGCCCAGGGGTGTGACTCCTGGATACAAGTGGGCAGGCAGGGCACAGCAGGCTGGAGGTCCTCACGTCCTGCTGCCTAGGGAAACAGGCCACCACGGTCCCTCTGGACGATAAGCTCGGCAAGGGCAAAACCAGGTCTGCCTACCCTAGGGCCACCTCAATGCCCCCGTATGTGACAGGCCAAGGTGAATGGTCCCAACCCAGACTGGGAAGCCAGACAGCAGCAGGTGTCAGAGGCCATCGCACACAAGGGGGTAAGAAGTGACACCCCAGTGACAGAAACATCCCGAGGATCTAACTGGGCTTGCAGTGGAGCCGGGCTCCGGCCTCAGCTCTGGTTCAGATCAGCCCTTTGGCTGGGGCTGAAGACTGACCTCGGCAACCGGCCAGCCTGGCATTTGGTCAAAACATGTATTGGAGCCGGATGTGGAGGTACACCCCTTAATCCCAGCAGCTCAGGAGGCCGAGGCAGGAGGATCACCAGTTCAAGGCCAGCCTCAGCAACTTAGCGAGGCCCTAAACAACTCAGTGAGACCCTGTCTCTAAATAAAATATAAAAAAGGGCTGGGGATGTGGCTCAGTGGTTAAGCACCCCTGGGTTGAAACCTCGGCACCAAAATAATAATAATAATTATTATTATAATTACTATTATTGGGGCTGGGGTTGTGGCTCAGTGGTAGAGCGCTCGCCTCGCACTTGTGAGACTCTGGGTTCGATCCTCAGCACCACATAAACATAAATAAGTGAAATAAAGGTATTGTGTCCAACTACAACTAAAAATTAATATTTTTTAAAAATCACTATTATTGTTATAACACACACGCATGCACGCACGCTCTGCTTCTGAATGTTTGCAGACGATGTTTCATCTTAGAACTTGGGGATCTGGGGAATGAAGGGGTGCTGACGGCTGACAGGCTGTAGGTGACAGAAGCCCACAGATGACTTGTGCTAATGGGCCAGGAGGCGGGCCCCAGTCATCTCCTGGGCCAATCTGTGGCATGATGTCCCCCCAGGGGTCTGCTGTGTAGACAGCCCCTGGGACCCTCATGGAGGCAGCGGGCACAGCTGGGAGCTGGCGGCCCTGCTGCTGTCCCCCGCCGCTCAGCGTTCCCTGCCCAGCCTCTGAGCGCCGCTTCCCGCTGCCAAGGCCCAAATCGAATCAGGCCGAGCAGCAGCCCAGACACTGGCCCTGGCCTCCCCCAGCCTCCGGTTGCCCAGACTGCACCGGCTCCTTCTGGCAAAGCCCTAATCCACTTAGAAAGGAACCGGGAGGGAGCAGGAAGGGGGCTGGGCTGGGGCCACCGAGTCCACACCCGCCAGCCGAGTCCACACCCGCCAGCCGGGCACTCGGAGCCCTGGGTGCAGCCGAGCGGGGGCAGTGGGGGGCCCACTCCAGACGCCTGGGCGGCTGGAGCTGGCAGGTAGGTGAGAGGGAGCCCAAGAGACCCGGGCCAGGCGCTGGACCACACCTTCTCCCTCTGCCATTCACCGTGCAGAGGACAGGGGACCATGGGGACAGCGAGCACCAGTCAACGGTGAGGCCAGAGGGAAGGTCCCCGGGAGATGGGGCAGTCACAGAAGGAGATCAGAGCAGAGTCAGAAGAGGCTCCAGAACACGCGGTGGCCACTGGCTCCTGACAGGGCACAAGTGGTCAGCGCACACTCAGGGCCCAGGGTCACCGCTCAGGCGGGACGCAGGGCAACATCCTGACCCCTTTCTTCCTGCCTCCTATCACGACCCTGCTAGCTCAGCCCCAAAAGTACCCCAGTATATCCACCTCCGGCCACGTCCAGTCCTGGCCACCAGCCCCGCGTGTGCAGTGGCCTCCCCTCTTGCTGGTGGGGTCTCCTCCCCAGCCAGGGAGCCTCGCTATAGGCCCCCCACGTTCCTCCCTTGCCCAGACGCTCCTTGTCCCTGCACAAAGACCCAACGCGACACTCCCCTGTGCACAGTGGGCCTGCGGGCACAGCCCTCTGCCTCTCCCTTCTGCCCAGGCCCAAGCCTGTCCAGGTCTAGGGCCTCCCCCGCCGTGGCCAGCTAGGCAGAGGCCGGCCCCTTACCACCCACCCCTCCTGGGACCCTCGACAGAACATGCTGCCATCTGAAGCCACAGCCCATGCGCTTCCTGCCCGGTGTCCCCACAGGAACGTGGGCTCCCCAAGGCCACAGACTGTGTCCGTCCTGCAGGCCGCAGCCTGGCCCGGGTGTCCCCAGGTGCTAAGATACACACGCCTCTAACAGGCGCTCAAGTCCACCATGCCAGGGGAGCCCGGCATCAGCCAGCTGCAGGCAGGGCCTGGCCACCCGTGGGAGCCTGCACCTCGGGAGGCGCGGCCTCTCTGGCGGAGCGGTTTGATGGAGAACGGAGGCTGCGGGGTGCCAGGGCTCTGGGTGGCCCCTCCAGCACACAGTGACCTGGCCATGCTCCAGGTGCTGCCCCAGGACCTGCAGCGCCTGCATCACCTGGCCGCTGGTCTGGGGAGCGTCCTTGCTACAGCACCCTGTTTTAGAGATGAGAGGGGACTCTCCCCAGGCCCCAGCAGCAGACAGTGGGGACACATCCTGTCTGCCTCAAAGTCTGAGGCAGGAGGCCTGTGCTCCCACAATGACCAGCAGAGACCAGAGGGCCACGTGCAGAGCTGACCAGGGTGACCAACTGGCCCTCGGTTGCCCAGGAACAGCCGGGACTTAGCAGAGAGTTCTGTGTCCTCAGTCTCTGGACAGTTGGTCACCAGGCCCCGGCCTTGACACAGGACCAACAGGGCCAGGCGCCCACACACCTCCCTCAGCGGCAAAGAACATGGACAGACAGGGACAGGGAGGACGTGTGTCCATCCTTTGGGTCCAAAACCATGAACTTGCTTCCTAAGGTGAGAGCCGGGCCTGGGCTGCGCAGGCAGGGGGACACGGAGCATGGGAGCAGGCAGGGCCCCTGCACCTGGGGAGATGGGGAGAGGACGCCGCAACTCGGGGCTCAGGCCTGAGTGCGAAGCCCCAAGGGCAGAGCCGGGCAGGTGGATGGAAGTCACCATAAGGTGCTAAGTCCCAGCTGAATCCCGGCTGTGGAGCGGCCCATGACCTGCCCCTCATTTGGCATCCCTACCCACTGTGCCCACCCGCAGGCCAGAGGCTGCCACCACCTGCCTGGTGACCCCCGGGGCCTGCACCACACCCCTGAGGCTCAGAGGTGACACCCCCAACAGCAGGCCCAGGAGGCTGCGTGGTAAGTCCCGGGGACTCTGATGGCAGCCAGGACCTGGATGGTCCTAGGTGCGGGCCTGCGACCCAGGTTCCAAGGCCTCTGCATCCTGCCTGCCCTGCAGGCCGCCAAGGGCTGGGGACCAGCAGGTCCCTGAGCCAAAGACTGGCCGAGAGCTGTGTCCCTGGGAGAGTAGGTGCTGCCCAGACCAAGGGCAGGCCTGTCACCAGGAGAGGGGACACCCACAGTACTGGGCCCCACAGCCCACTCCAGCTGGCCCTGGAGCCCGGCTGAGGGCTAGTAGACTCTCAGCCAAAGGCCCCACAGACAGGAGGTGCCCAATGGGGACCTGAGAGAACCAGGTCAGGTCCCTTTGACCCCACACAACGACACGGCCTCTGCACTGGCTCTGGAAGCCATGAGCAGGTCAGGGGGCTCCGTGCTGCCCGCCCGTCACCCCTGGTCACAGCAGGCGAGGAGGCCCCTGGCAGGGCCACTGCAGGAGGGAGGACTGCCCAGGAGCCCAAGCCCCTCCAGGCACCAGCCCACCCAGCGTCAGGGGTGCCCGGGAGGCCTGGCAGGGCACCTGGGCCGTTGGCCCCACGGGGACAAAGCTCCCTCATTGCTCCCGCCACACTCTTGAACTCTGGCAGTCACCAAGTCCCTATCTTATCAGCTACCAGCCAGGGGACAGAACCCAGTGGTCACCCCGCCTGATCATCAACTGGGTCAGTCTAAGCAGTGAGCTGTAGGGGGGCCAGCAGCAGTGGCTCTGCCCAGCTGGAAGGTGGTGGCCCATGGGAAGCAGCCGGGGCGCCTCCCCTGGCCAGGCCACACCACAATCAGTCACTCAGCACCTGCTGGAGCCTGTACTGGGCCAGGCCCCTTCTGCCCGCTGGAGATCACAGGGTCAGTGTGTTCACAAAGAGTCACAGGGCCTTGGAGAGAGGACGCGGGGAAGCCGCCTGGCACAAAGCTTCGTGTGGAGGACAGAAAGGGGTCACCCACGGATTGAACCCAGGGGCACTGACCACTGGGCCCACCCCCAGCCCTATTCTGTGTTTTATTTAGAGACAGCGTCTCGCTGAGTTGCTTAGGGCCTCACTAAGTAAGTTTCTGAGGCTGGCTTTGAACTTGTGATGCTCCTGCCTCAAGCAACCAAGTCGCTGGGACGACAGGGGCACCCCTGGGCCTGGCAGGTGGCCCGTGTTTTACTCCCACCTTCCATTTACCTACTTTGGGTACTCTGGGTACGTGAAAGGAAGCCCGGGGTCGTCTGCACAGAGCAAAGGAAGAAGCATGACTTGGCCATCCGGGGATAAAGGGGAGGACGTCTGGGGCGATGTCGACAGAAGAAAAGGCGACTCGCGGATGGGGAAAATACTTGCCGATTTTGTATCTGATGAGGATCAACATAAACAGAACCCTAGACGCAACAGCACCACAGCCCACAGCCCACGAAAACCCGGACAGGCAGGTCTCCTGACCTTCAAATGGCCAGCAGACACATGAAAACTGGACATCACTGGCCATTAGCAAAATGCCAATCAAAACTGCAGTGCGACATCGCCTCTCACCGGGTAGGACGGCTCCTATAAAAAAATCACCACACGTGAACGAGAGCTGGAGATGCCATGGAGGGGCCGGAGGCCCAGGCACCGTGGCAGGAGTGGACATGGGCATGGCCACCATGGAGACAGCATCACTGCTCGACACCTCTAAGACAGTCACAGGGACCAGCAGCTCCACATCCACAGTCCACCCAGGACCCAGGATAGGGTTGAGGCCTGCGGCTCAGCGCACAGTGCCAGATGCGGGGCAGCCAGGGTGCCACCGACAGGTGAGCACGTGACAAAACACGCCGGACAGCGGGTGGGGACACTGACTCAGGAAGGGAACCCTGATGCCCGCCACGAGGAACCCCGAGGACACCACCCCGCGAAGTGAACTGGGCCGCATAGGCCACCAGACCCGGGACAGGCCCATAGGACAAGCTCCCGCTGGACCCGGCCCTTGGCTCCAGAACCCGGCTGTGCTTCTGCGGGCCACGCTCAGGGTCCTCCGCGAGGAGCAGCCCGCTAGCCTGAGGGGACACACCCACCGGAGCCTGCACTCGCTCTGGGCCATCCAGAGGCCCCATGAGACTCTACACTAGCCTGTCATCCTGAAGTGGCTTTAGGGGTTCTCTGGCCCTTGGCCCACTGAGTGGTGAGAATTGACTCCCCACTCTTGATGTCGGGCCTCACTGCTCACCCTGAAGCAGCCAAGGAGCTGGGAATGCTCGAGGGTCCCCACTTCCCACCTGCTCAGAGACAGTGGCCACGAGACCCCGGCTGTCCTGACGGAACCGTCCTGGAAATGCCAAAAAAGGGAGAGATGCCCAAGAGGCTCTGGCCGTCTCCCCAGCCCAGGCACCAGGCTAGCGCCTGACGATGTCTCTAACATGACCCCAACCCTGGCCACCCTCCAATGCAGCCACAGGACAGGACTTGGGCAAGACCCACCTGGCCCAGCCCAGTCAACCCCCAGCAGGGAGAGGTTAAGATAGGAGGGGACTGTCATATGCTGTAGCCAGGTCCGGGTGACTTGTCTCGGGGGTCACTGGCACACCCAGTGCAGGCCCGGCAGAGGCCGGGCCCGAGGGGCAGTGCTGGGAGCATGGACAAGCTTGGTGGATGGTCTAGGTGCACGCACACGTGTCCAAGGTGACCAGTGGGGACAGGGCTGAGGTGGGAAGAGAGGACAGGGTCAGCAGGAATCCCCAGCTGCCCTCCTCTCCCAGGCCTTGTCCATCACAGCACAAAGGGTGGCAAATCTGCCCCTAGGAGCGCCTGGTAGATTCAAAAGTGACCTCCGACAAGACACCCCTGTCCTCATCCCTGGGGCCTATAAATGTCACCTTCTAAGGTAAAACTACTTCGGGGGTGACACACTGAAGGACCTTGAGAAGGGAGACACGCGGAAGCCCTGGAGGCCATCACATCTCCCTATGATGGAGAGTGGGGGTGGGGACTGGCAGAAGCGAAGGCCAAGGGCAGACAGACACTTGAAGATGCTGGCCTTGAACCTGCAGGGACGTGGCCACAAGCCCAGAGGCTGGGAAAGCAAAGGGCTGAGTCTCTGCTCAATGGCGGCCCCGCCCACACCCTGATCTGAGCCCGCAGGTGACGCACTGGACTCCAGAACTGTGAAAATACACACGCTGCTCTTGCAAGGCACCACATGCGTGGAATAGGTGGACTGTCCCGACCTGAAAATCCCAAATCTGAAATGCTCCAAGACCAAAAAATGCTCCAAACAAACACACTATGTTTTTTGAGCAGGGACCCTAACGCCACAGCAGAAAATTCCACCCCAGCCCTACGTGATGGGTGGACGCCAACACAGGCATCTGGAGACACCACCTTGGGGCCAGGCACCATGGCACACACCTGTGATCCCACCGGTGGAGGCAGGAGAATCGTGGGTTCAAAGCCAGCCTCAGCAACTAAGCAAGGCCCTAACTCTGAATAAAATATAAGAAGGGCGGTGATGTGGCTTCAGGTTACTTGCCCTGGGTTCAATTCCTGGTACAAATGACAGCAACAAATCACCTTCAGGCCACGTGCATGAGGTGTCCATGAAGCAGAAGCGTAGACTCGGGTCCCCAAGACATGTATATCATGACATTCTGACAAATACCGCAAAATCCATCGAGATGTGAAATCCACGACGTCTGGCCCTAAGCTTTGTGGATAAGGGACACCAGCCTGCACCTGCTACAGCAGCCTCCTGAGGCTCGGAGGGGCCCTCGCTGCCCACGCCCTCCGCCCTGGACATGCAGTCCTCAGCTCAGACCTCTCTCTGCAAGGCTCAGGCCTGGTCTGCTGGAGAACTCCCCAAGCCCTTCGCCACTGGACACTCCAGAAGGGCCTCTGGAGAAGCGGACGTTTCCAGACACCCAGGAAGCACCTCTGACTCGCGTCTCTGCCCTGTGGGCCAGCTGGGGTCGGGGAAGGCAGCAGCCAGCGGAAAAACTAAACCCAGCCCTGCAAAAGGCAAAGCCGCTCACACGCCACCCAAGCACGCCCCCGCCAGCGCTGCCATATGCCTGTTTCTCCTAAAAGCAGCTCGAGAGAACAAACAAAATGACATTTCTCCCCTCCCAGCTGGGGGACATCCTTCCTCCCTGGCAGACCCACCCTCCCCCTGGATACTCATCTCCTGCCCCAGGGGCTCCCCAGTGGGGAAGGTGTCACCCATGGCCCTGAATTCTGGCCACCCCGCATCGTCCACCCACCACTGTAGCTAAGGGAGGACACAGGAGGCCAGGCTCTGTGGACTGACAGCCAGAGGGGGTCTCACACCTGGCTGCAGTGCGGTACGAGGGGATCTGGAGTGTGGTCAAGACACCTGTGTCCCAACCCAGGCCCAGACCCCAAAGGCTGCCCTCCCAGGCCCTTCTCCTCCTGCTAAGCCAGGTCGCCCACTGTGCCTTGGCATATAAAGGCAGGTGCTTGGGGCCTATCCCAGTGCCCAAATTTAACCACTTCCCAAAGCCCACCCGAAACACCCTAGTTGGTTAGTTACCACACTCTTAAAGCCACTAACGCAAGATTTGGGGACTGAACTCTTGCACGAGTGGAGACAAGAACACACTTTCCAACTGTGGTCCGAGGCCCGAGGGTAAAGCCGGGTCTCCAGACTGGATCAGGGCCCTCCAGTTCCCATGGGGGGACTTGGGGAAGGAGAAGCACTGGTCCAGTCCTGGCCACAGAGACAGAGAGCTCCTGGGGAGCTTGTGCCTGGAGAGGGTCTTGGGGTGGCCTCCTCCTGCAGGGACACCCCAACCTGAGAAGAGCCACTGGGGGGGAGGGGTCACCTGCAGAGCAGCAGACCCTGGAGGGACCTGGTCTCTGTGACTCCAGACCAGCCACCTCCAGGCCTCACGCTGCACAGTAGAAGCCCACGTTGCTGAGGCCACGTCCCATGTGGGCTTCCTCCACCTGCAGCCAGAGGCGTCCCACTGAGGCCGCCTGGAGCAACCCCTGCTGGGCTGTGGCTTCGGCTGACTTCACAACAGAAGATCTCCTTCCCAGCCGGTGGCCACAGAGCGACATCCTGTGCGGTGACCGCCCACAGCAAGAATCTAGGGCCCTGAGTGTGCATGGACCCCAGGTGGGCATGGAGCCCCCGGGTAACCTTGTCTCCTCTACAACTGTGCTGGCCGGGTCATTTGGTCACAACTGCCAACCCGTGGATCCCCGGTGTGCGTGGCCCTGAGGCAAACCCTGTGGACACTCAGGCCTCACATAGCCACCTTCTCCCCTTCCCCAACTCCTCGAGGGGCTGGAACACACACAGCCAGGCCCCACATCCACAGATTTTTACCAACTGTGGGTTGAATATTTGAGAAATAAAACCTGCAGCTGAACTGAACAGATTCTTTTCTTGCCATAATTCCCTCAACTATGAGGCATAGCAGCTACTACCATGCCAGTCACATTAAGTCATCCAGAGATACTTAAAGCACACGGGCCATGTGCCTGGGGCCTGGGCAAATCCTGTGCCATTTTACCCACAGGGCTTGAGCCTCCTTGGATTGGGGTGCCTGCCTTGGGGGTGCTGGAACCGAGTCCCCTGGATACCAAAGACTCCTTGCAACCTAGGCATGGCCATGGGACAGCTTCTGGCCAGTGAGACATTCCCAAAGACACGGGCAGAACTTCTCAGAGAGCAGGTGTTGGCGGCTAACCCCTCCGTCTCCTGTCTGGAGGCTGTAGTCCCTTAGATCAGGATGATCAAAGCCACTGCCTGTGACAGAGGGGATGGATGGAAGTGGGGGACTGGTGAGCGCTAGGCAAGTGTCTGTCCCTGAGCTATGTCCCCAGACCCCTCTTGCCATGTTCCTTGGTGAGTCTTTCAAATAACTTCTGCAATAGGATGGGACACAAACACCCTGGAACCGACCAATCCCATAACTCTCAAAGCTCCGACTCCAGGCACGTTTCAAGAATGAGAGAAAGGCCCTGCCTTCCCGGGGCCTCATCCAATGCGCAAGTGCTTTCCTTCCCCCAAACCTTGCCCTGACCGCCTGTGGAATGGGCACCAGCCGGCACCCTCAGGAAGGTCAGACAGCAGTGATGGGTGGATGGGACCCACTTTTATAAGGCCTCAGCTCCGTGCTGCCCAATGAGCTGCCCTGTCCATCAACCTCGCCATTGTGGGAGGTCAGCCCGGGGCCTCATGTTCAGCCGCACCTGCTTCCTCCCACTGAGGTGTCTGCAGAAGGGTGTCCTTCCCTCTGCCACAACCCCACCCACAAAGCCTTGTCCCCTCCAGCCAAGGTGGCCAGCCTCCCACCTGGCACACGTCTAAGGCTGGGAAAGAGGTGACGGTGGGGAGCACTCCAGGATGCAGGATTCCCACAGGCCTCTGGACACCTGCACTCTTCACCACCACGCAGCGTCCACTGCCCAGTTACCAGGTAAGTAGACGCCCTCTACCCACACCTGCCCCAGGCCACACCATGGAGGGACCCTGAAGACATGCTGCGTGGATCGAGCCACTCCCAAAGGCCAAGCAGTGAGACTGCACCAAGAGGAACCCAGACCCCCAGATGGCCCAGGCAGCAACACCCAGGGCTGTCCACGCCCCCTTGGGGGAGAACGGGACTTTGGTCACCTCCCCCAACTTCACCCTCTCTCGACAGGAAGCGGCCTGGAGAGACTGTCGCCCACTTTTCCACAGGAATGGAAGGCGCACTCCGAGAGCGGGGAGCGTGGCAGGCTCTACCTCAGGCCTGGACCAGGGCTGCGCCTGGGGCTCACGTCGTAAATGGACACCATTTTCTCCTTCCACCCCCACTCCCTGCACTCCTCTCCCCCAAAATCACTCCTCACCCCCCACCCCAGGCAGACTTCTCCGTCCTGGGTACCACCCAGCCCAGGAATGAGGTGACCCAGACTTGGAGATGGCACCGGAAGATCTCAGAAATCTCCTGAATTAACAAGTGAGTTACAACTCCAACCAACAACACCCGGAGTGTGGCCTATGAATCACCTCTTTAGAAATACCCGGCCCCTCTGGTGGGCAGAATCCCAGCCTCTGGGACAGGAGTCCCCTGTGCTTCTTCTTTAAAAAAAAAGTGTCTGGAAACTGGGCCCAGAACAAGGTGCCTGCAACTAGTGACCACGGAGATGAGCACCAGCAATGGCTACTGAGCACAGTCACTCGCCTGTTTGCTGATGCCGGCTGCGGCTCACCTCCTCCCCCAGGCCCCCCATTTCATGACGCTGGCTCCCGAGGCCCCATATGAAGGCCAGATTCACTCATGTCAACCTCAAAGAAGTCTGAGGTCAAAGGGCGCGGTGGAGCACACCTGTGATCCCAGCCACTAGAGAGGCTGAGGCAGGAGGATCGCGAGTTCAAAG